AAGGAAAAGAATAAAGATATTGCTGAGTCACGTGACGGCCGAACCATGGCACTGCCGTGGAGTACGATGACCGTATTGATGAAGCTCAAGTCACTCTCGCATCATGGGAAGGTCCGGGGTGGTCCCCATGCGCTTTCTGGCCTCTTCCCCCATACACTGGCCTCTTCACACTCATCAGAGAAGGGGCGGAGCAGCGGAGGGTATCGGAAATGTACGTGGCTGAGCTCACACCTGTACCAGCACTGATAGGGCTCAATTTTCAGGTTATCGCGCAAGGAAAGCAGCCGTGAACGCGGCGACCACACGCAATGACTGCGCGTTTAATTCATGTGCGTCTGAAAGCCGAAGCGCGGCGCGCACCGAGGTTTCTGACACGATCGTGTAAATGAAGACCTGTCTGGCTCGGGCGCCGAGTTTGCGGCAGGATACGCCTGGGGCGCGTCGGTCAGGTTGCATGTCCCTCATGTTCTGTTTGTGCTGTACGGAATGGATGGCGAGCGCCCGCCGGTCGATGTGTTTACGTGGAAATTTTTGATGCAATCGTCGCCCTCGGAAGGGGATCGTCTATGTCCGCCACACTCGTGTTGGTACGTCGGGATGCGGCCTGCGCCGGGACCTCGGTTCCTCTTATGGAAAGTGTGTCGTGTCTTAGTGGCCGAGCGATGCCCATCAAAGCGCGTCCGCACATCTATGGAGACGCGCCGGCAGTCGTAGGGGTGCAACGTTCCGAACGTCCGTGTATGTATACACATGTCCGTTCCGAATGGCCTCTTGTTCGAAACGGCCCCTCGGCACTCTCCGACAAATAAATTTATTAATTTCGACGACCCGCGAATGACGGCCATCGGCTCCCGGCCATCGCGAAAGGATGCATGCTCGCTGTGCGCAGTCACTGCGAGATGGACAACACAAATTTCATGCATTAAAATTACTATATAATACATGCTTTTCCAGATGACAAAGAATACAGTATGAGCCCAGACACGGAGACGGAACTAGGGGCAGACTGGGAGGGTAGGAGGATGGACAGGTACAGCGCGAGCAAAAGAAAATGAAAGCCCGCGGTATCCGATAATAGGCGCGAGAGCGGGCGGTAACAAACGAAACCGACTCAAGTTGGGGGAGGCTGAAACCAGACGCTTGAGGTTCTGGTAACTAATCAGCGGCTGTTAATTCAATCGACAGCCAGTTTACACACCTGCTACAGGCCTGCGCGCGCGAACCACACCCAACCCGCGCGGGACGGCGCACCGACTACGGGAGCTCCAGGAGAAGAGCACGAAGCGGGCGCGCTACACGATCAAGCCCAGCAGCGCGACCGCAGACAAGCCGCAGTGGGCGACGAGACCCCGGAGAGGCGAGAGCGGTGAGGACGGGGACGAGCGCGACGGAGTGGACAACGAGGGCGGGGGAGGGCAGAGGACAGTCGTGGGCGGAGGGAAAAAGGAACGCGCGTCGCGAAGTCGCGCCATCCGCGCGCCCGGGATATTCGGCAAATGCCAAGTGGTCTGTGAGTTCCGACCGTTCCCAACCCGACGCGTCAGCGCGCTTGCGACTTGCGTTTTTTGTTCTTCCCCCATCACCGCGCCCCTTCCCCTCTCTTCCTCTTCCCCTCCCTGTCCCGCCCGTTATCCTCGACTCAACGGGCTGGTGAGTGCAGGCCACGGACTTATGCTAGTGCTGGCTTTTGGTGTGGTGGAGGCCCGATAGCTGGGCACCCTCGCGTTGCTGCGAGGCTCCAGGTGCGTCGTGACACAATTTCTCAACGTACATCCGCTAATTACGCTTACAGGTACTCTATCCCCCTGTGACGGGCGCCAGCTGAGGCGCTGCCAATTGGACGCTTAACGCCATGTCCGCGCAAGGTACGTCGTACTCGTCCTTGCCATTGAATTTCACTAATACAATTCGCTCTGGCAATGTTTGTAGCCCCAGGCTTACGCTTGCGTTCGCCGAGCTCTCGCAGGAGCGCGCACAAGGTACGTTGCGTTTGCCTGCTCACGCTCGCGGTATGCGCTGGGCGCTGCTTATATAATGCTCAACTGACGATATACAATATTCTGTAGGGCTGGACCAGTGCTCGGAGCGCCCAGGGTGCGTTGCGTGCGCTCGCTCGTGACGTGGCAACGCCACGGTGCAAACGCGGCTGGTGACGAGCATGGTGACCGCCGTGCAGCGCTACGCGCTGCTGCTGCGCGCGCTCTCGTATGTGAGACGTCGCTCCGCGACGCTCGCTCGCGCTTTGCGTGCGCTGCCGGCGCTTCGCGCCGCCATTGCTTGCGCGTGCGAACCGCTTTTCGTTCATTATTGTAGTTCACGTTGTCCCCCTGTATGCTAGTCTGTTAGTACTGTAGATTGTGAAATAAAATGTTGCTTTGTTCTTCGACCATGGCTACGTGCACATGCGTTTTGGTGTCAATCGCCTTCGGCGATAATTCTGGCGGAAAGGTGCCTTGCCCTGAGGCCCGTTCGGAAAAGCTCCACGTTCAGAATGGGCAGGCCCCCGTTCGGAACGGCCTCGTGAATAGATACGAGACATTCCGTAAGGGTCCACCCCAGGTGGTGGCGCCGGTCAGTTAAAAGACAATCCAAGACGCTACGCTCCAGCCGGGGCCCTTGAATAGCCTTTCTCCCACTGTTCATCAAATGTCTCTTTACTGGCGTGCTGACGATGGACCATTGGTGAGCTCGAGCGCAAGCATCGTGAAGCCGCGTGGTGACACGCCTTGTAGGACCAAGCTTCCTTTCACAGCCATCGATGGCGGCCCAACAGACGAAGAATTGGCCGTCAGCCTATTGTGCGCGCTCTGGCCTCATTGGAAGCGGGCTCCTCCTCACGTTTGTATAGGTCCGACTTGCCCTTCGCAGGCGAACCCGCCGCGACCGTGACCGTCTCAGTCGGTGAGCATAGTTCCATCACTTGTACAGCGGTACCACGCTAACTTGCGTAGTGGGCTGGTCCCCGCTCGGGGTTGGCAGTGTGACCCTCAACGTTGTATCGAGGATCTTGCTGTTTCTGCTTCCGAGTATCTTCAACCCGGTGCTGCCAAGCTGGTGGGGACCGCCCGCGTTTTTCTCCTGGATCGTCAACACCATGTGCGTATCGCGGGCTTGGTACGACACGGTCCTCCGCACGCACGAGCTTTGGGGAGGCATTCTGCCCTCGCTATTGCAACCTAGGCACTGGCTCACAGCATGCGACCGAGCGGGCGAAGCGGCCAAGTGTCTCTTGTACGGGGAGCGATCTACGTGGCACTGCAATGACACCCAACTACGCACTGCGAGGTCTATTCATACCATGGACTTGTGCCCGTGGCGCAACTTTGGACGGCGTCTGCAAGGACTCAACATGAGACTCTTGGAGGTTCTGTGTGTTTGTCCTCACGAGGGCAACATTCCTGATTCGTTGCCCGCAACTCCGCGCGCGCCGACATACGCCCCGCGCCTTCTCATTTGCGAGATTTCCTCGCCGGCTGTGTTCATCACTGAGCGTTCACAGCATCTGGTTGTGTCCAACTTCTGGGTTGAACAGCTGCGTGCTGCCCTTAGCGCATTGGTTTCGCTGAAGCATCTCGAGATCCATAGGACGCGCTCGAGCGGCAGGCGAGTTGACTGGACAGCACTGATTGCTAGCACAGGTCGTGATTTCCTCGAGACACTGATCTTTTGGTGTCCGGCAACCCAGAGCCGCGGTCTCAGCACGAACGTCGAGGCGCTCAAGGCACCGCGTTTGCGCGTCTTGGACGCTGGCGGGGCTGTGTTGGTGCGGAGCCCATGTATGCAGCGCATGCACGTAGAGCACGTCGCCTGGCATGATCTTGTCATGATGTTGGCAGCTTCACCATCCATTGAGTCTCTCACGGTGCGGTCCTTGGTCGATGGGGACTTGTCCGTGGAAGGCGGGGTTGGCTTGCCACAGTGGATTGAGTTGCCATTGCTGGAGGCGGTGGACATCTCTAGCGTTCTCGCCGGTCATACGCGCGGCGTATTTGAGTTGCTCCGCGCAACGGCTATCTGCGACATCGTTCTCCACTTCGACGCGACGGCTCCGCCCAATCGTGAGGCACTCGGCTACGTAATCGAGCTACTTACGGCCGCTGTTTCCATGGGCGCAGCTGAGCTCGAGCGGGTCTTTCAATGGGCAAGGAGGGCTTTTCAGCGCAGCGGCTACTACCGGCTCTTGTTTGACCTTAGTGACGTACTGGGCGGGGTCGGCGTGCTCGAGAATGCTGAGGTCAATGTGGGCGCCCTCAGAGGTGCGGCGCTGGTGTTGCGCGATGTTGTGCGGGCCGCGGCGGATGATGCTGAGATGCTCGCGGGCAGGGAAGAGTTGCTCGGCGCCGCTGTCAACGCCGCCATGCAGGCTGCCGGTGTCGATCTTACTCACGCGTCGATCTTACTCGCGCGGAGAGCGTGATGACTGTGCAATGTGTCGACAACGGCGTCGATTATGAAGCGGCAATTGAAGATGCGCAAGGCGACATTCGTTATCTTGTCGTGCACATGACGGGCGTCCCCCCGCCTTCGACTGAGACACCAAGCAATTGGGACCGCAAGGACTTGCACGCAGGAGGAGGTGCTCGTACCTTGTTTGGACTGAGCGTTCTGCGCCCTGTAGAGCTGTGCGTCGTTGCTGTCAGGACAGACCCTTTCCAGCCGATTGGCGGCGGCGAGGTGGAAGACATCGACACGCTAGCATTGTCTGCAGCTCTCCTGACCGAGGTCGACACGCTTCGCCTCGAGATCGATGATGAAGTGCAGGCGTCTGGGCTGCTGATCGCCATTAGGGAGCCTGTGATGACCGCGCTCACCCACGTCTACGTAACTCGTGCTGCCCTGGACAACATCCAGATCGCAGCGAGCCGCCCGAGGGCTATAAAAGGTTGGTTCAATACGCTGGAGCTGGCAGTGACAAGCCGTAGTGACCACGGTCTTCAGCTGCACCGCCTGGAAGTTAGCGGGCACTTCTACCTCTGCATGATGTGGGCGAGGCGCGTATGCGAGGTCGTGGATGAGCTGGTGCTCGACGTAACTTGCATTAACCGAGTGCGATCGATTTGCCTGACTTGCAATATTGTGCCTTGGTGGTAGTCTCATTCTCCTGCTGTACACGTCTCGTTATATGTACTACAATTTACCTCGATGCGTGTGTTGATTAGTTGCTTTAGTCGATGTGAATATAAAGACCCACCCATGGGCGACGTGAAATAATGATGCAAAAAGGTCACTGGCCACGGCAAGACTTGAACCCCCGACCTCGTAGAACATGGGCTTTGGTTGACCGGTCAACTTTGGCCATTCTGCCATAGTACCATATAAAATTATGGTTGTTAGGAGTACAATGGGTCAAGCTACCCTAAATCAGATGCACCCTAGACGAGATGCCACGGTCCGCGCCCATCTTGCGAACAGCGTCCATCCGTCCTGTTCCTCTGCTTGCGCGTCTCTCCACCTCCTCTTTGCTCATAATGATCCATATACTCGCCGCTGTTCCCCCGCACAGAACCTCTCGAACGTTATTGAATCTGTAGCAAATTAGCGAGGGTCCACGAGACGATCTGCAATCTACATCCGGTATGTGGTGTTGCGCCTGTTGAGCCGTGATGTTCTAGACTGATTATTGATCACAGTCAAGTTAAGCACATAAGAACCCCACACCTGACTTTACTAACTCTCGCTCAACTCCTTCCACGACTCCCACTCCCGCTACGGTATTGCCATGTTAGAGGTATGCACTTTCTTCACCCTGCACTTCGATGTACTCACCGTATTCGTGGCATCATACCATCAGGATCAACTCAAGGATCTTGAACTCCTGCTCTGTGACGCCCGGATCGTGGTGGAACTGGCCGCGGCGAATAACGAACCACTCACTGCACAAGAGCTCGCGGCTCTTCAAGTCAAGTGCGTCGAGTTGCAGATTAAACAGGAGGCGGCACGCGCATCGAACCAGTTGCAACATGTCCGTCCCATTGTGTGTATCATATCATTCATATGTCTAACTGGTGTTATTTCACAGAGTGACATCACACTTCAAGATCTCGAACTCGCGCTACTCACACAGCGGATCAAGTGCGCTACCTTGGCTCTCAACGGCGCTAACGACGCCGACAGGCGTCTTGCCGATCTGCGGGTTAAGCGCTCGGCGTTGCTCCTGTCACAGTGCAAGAAGCATGCTCAGCACCCTTCCACTTCAGACACTTTGCGGTCGGCATCTACTGCGGCAATAACTAGCTTGAGCGACCCGGTAACGAGGCCTGTGCATACGCCTTCTTGGGATCCGGCACTCGTTCCCAATGCCTCGTTTGAACTGACACCCGGCCTCTCGCGTGCTTCGCTTTCTCGGGACTCGTCACCTCACACTTCCTCAACGGGCTCTGTTCTTTTGGCGCCCGGTGTTCTCACCGACAAGCCCGTCATACCTCACGGCAGCCCCAATCCTACCGTGGCCATCGACGACCGCAACGAAGATGAACACACTGGCGGCGTCGAGCGCGAGCTCATTGGGGAGGATGTGCGCCAGCCCACGAGCATTGTCCACGAGGCGCCGAAGCTTTGCAAGGACTTGACCGCTATCATCGACATCGATGATGCCGGGGTGGCCCGCGCTCTTACCCCGCCGCACGCTCGGTCACACGGGAACACTCCCGATGTCCTCTTGCAGGCCGACTGCGGCGACGACGCCTCTGCGCTGGGGGACGACGATGCCCCGTTCATGTTCGTGGGCTCTCCCCATGCGCCCAGGACCGTGCTGGAGGCGCACGCGAACAAGTCGGGTTTGCCGCAGAAGACGCCTCCGAAGGCGCACACTAACAAGTCGAGTTTGCCTCTGAAGGCGCTAATTAATGCGTGCAAGTCGGATTCGCCGCAGAAGACGCCTCCGAAGTTGAATGCTAAACCTCACACAGCCGTAGGGGCCGGCCAACCAGGTCAGCCCATACTGGTACACTAAGCCAACCTGGTCGGCTGTTTTCGGCAAATTCCGAGGTCTGAACCTGGTCAACGATTAAAAAAATAGATTTTTATTCGAGAAATAATACCGCACAGGCCTAAACTCCATGCACGATCGTTCAGTCGGACTTCAATGAGGAGGAAAATGAATATTTATATTCTCAATTTTAAAAGCGAGCCTTTCAACGAAGCGAAAATACGCATGTCAGCGGGTGCTGGGCATGCCACACGATATATAGCCTGCAACTAGGCAAGAAAACATGGCATTCGTAATATATATGAGGTACACAATACATACGGTTAAGTAAAGTGCTATACAAATAGACGAGATACGAGGAAGGGGCGTGCGAAGGGTGGACGGGGGCAAATGAGCAAGGCTCAGCGGTCTGCGCTTGACAACAATCGACAGCCGTAAATGAAATCCAAGCAGCCCTGCTTGAGAGAATTAGCGCAGGAGCTGGAAGCACGAGCGTGTAACGTACGTTGAGCGACATGCGCGAGCGCGCTCGCGCGTGAAGCAAGGTTAACACTCCCGCCCTCCAAGGCACGAGCAAGGAAAGTCCAGCAGGGCGGTGTACGCGAGCGGGGCAAGACACCACGTCAGGCGCAGGCGCGCACGACGAGGAGAAAGGCAGCGAAGGAGACGAGGGTGATGACGGGGAAGAACAAGTAGGACAAAAAACGAGAAGTCTCACGACGCGCATTCCGAATGTCCGGCAAACGCTAATTGGCTGGCTGATCCCGAGCCTCCCCGGAGCTGTGGTTGCTAAGATAGTTAGCAATTATGACTTTAGCTACAAGGGTCCAATCCATTTAGCAAGGGTCCGCTAACTATCTATTTTGAATTTTTCTTGTGTATCAAATTGTGTGCTTCTGAATAGGAGTCAAATAGTAAAAATATTAATAGAAGTACACATCAAGTGCAACTAGGTATCAAAAGTAAGTGCGGCTAATGTGTAAGCGTAATTACTAGTAGAGATGGGTTATGGAGTTTCTTCCCATGCAATACCTACTACTAGCTCCCGCCTGCAAGAACGAATCCGCTGGGCTTTTTTTGGGATACTGCTGCTATTTTTTCCTGGTGCAAACCCTAACCCTAACCCTAACCCTAACCCTAACCCTAACCCTAACCCTAACTCTAACCCTCTAACCCATAACCCTATGTCACAATTCCTGCAGAACCCACTACTAGTACATGAATATACGTAATTTTTTGCTTGCAAATCACTATCCAGATACTGCTTTAATAAATACAACTTTGATTTTCCCACACCAATATATTAAAGCTATTATGTACCACTATACGCTGCATTAGCAAACCCCCCCTAAACTACTATTAGTATATGTTTAGTTAGTAGTGTGTACTTTATAGCGTACTCCTGGCTCTATTAGTACTGGAGATATAGCTATTGTCAAAACAGGTAGTGGATAGTTACAAATTTTCCATGGCTAAACGAACTATCCGGTTTGTAGGTAAAGTCATAATTACTCCTAACTATCCTAGTGCCTACCATAGCTCCCCGATCCGAAGTGTCAGCCGCGAGAAGTTGTTCGACCTTTCTTTCTTCCCCCCATCATCCCCGCTCCCGCGCGTCTTCGTGTCCTCGCCCAGCGCTCCTCTCGCCTGTCTCGTCGTCGTCGCCATTGTCATCTGGCTTTAACAACAATATGTAGCAGTCTCCGTCGTCGTTGTACGTTTTGGGCGGCCTGGTGCCGACGAGCTGGCATCAGTCCCGCGATCCGCGCCCCATCGTTAGATACATCATGTCCTCGTATCGGTACGAAGCGTCGCTCACGAGCATCTCCTTAGCCTTCCTGGAGTGCTTGCACTGCGTTGTCGCCAGGGTACGTCAAGAATCGTGTGCGTTATGAATGGAAGCTAACGGCCGTTCTGTAGTGTTTTGCCGGCTCGCTCCCGACGTCACAACGCCTATCTTCGCTGTGTGCCCGCTCGTCGCATCGCCCAGCGCGAACGGGCGTGATTTCGGTCTTGTCGCCGCTGTCCTAGGTGCGTTTTAAGGCCGGCGGGTATCGCGAACTAGTACTTATTCCGCCTCAGGTCTTCGCATCTTTCGCGCTCGGGGACACAGGCGAGTCCGCCTGCTGTGCCATCCTGCTCGCTGGCGTCGGCTTTGTGCCTGCGCGGGCGAGTGGCCTTCTGGCCGCAAGTGACGGCGCTTTGCGCCATTCTGCAAATGCACTGCTGCGCGATGCGCTACCGCAGCTCCGAGCCCACTCTGTCCTGTTCGCGCTAGCAAGCGGCCTTGCGCCCGCGAGGGAATGCCGCTCCGCGGCGCTCTTCGTGTCGGTTCTCATGCTTGCAGCGTGCATTCTCATTTTGTTTTTGATAGTCACTGTTGTATAGTTGTGTCACCTTATACGAATGTTGTATATCTACCGTTTGAGCCTCCTGTACGCGCCGAGTGTGCTATGTACGAACAATATAATTGATTTTTGCTTCTACTTGATGGCTGACATAATCGACTTGATGGCTGACATAATCGACTTGCTGCTTTTTTATCACCGCGTTCCTGAGACTTCGCCGATAGAGGTCGGCTTCTTGAATGGGTCGGCCCCTAGTGGTGCCTCACAAGGCCGTCACGTCCACGAGGAAGAGCAGTGGAAACAAGGAGCCAGCTGCTTAACTATACACCATTGCTCCCGGTCTATGATAGACACCTGTTTGTATGCCCATCTATACCTGATGCTTCTTCTCTGTGTGCTTCTGGATGTGCTGGTGTTTCAAGTAGGTCGGACGGAGCTTCTCCACTTTCCATCATACAATATTGGTCTTTTGGCCCTTGAACAACTTGGGAGGGTAGCGGTAGGTACAATTATGGTTCAAGCAGGCCCTATTAAGATGGGATAGATATAGTGAAGGAAGGACTTTGGATAGCAAACACTGACACACACTATCCTGAACTATCCGCATCTGTGACACGCTTCTTGCACAGTGCGTGGCAATTGTAGCACACCACTGTTTTATTGGTCTTCTGTCTCTGAGCCCGTGCCCAATCTACGCGCTGCGGATATGTCAGTGCTACATCATGATGAAGTCGTGTTACAAAGACATATCAAATACTCTGCGATCCATGCTGACAACTGGTTTGGACTCTACAGATGCAATGGGTGGGTCCAGTGAGCCAAACCAATTGGCATGTGACAGATTGGACAGTGGCAGAGAGGTCAAATGGTTTGCGTTGTGCGACTGCAAAGGTGATGACAATAACAATGGAAACAAAGGAACTGAGGGCAGGAAAAGCAGTGAAGAATGTGTATGTGTATTCAGTCATAAGTTGGCTGTAATACGCACAAGATTATCAGGCTCTGTACCCAGACAGGATTGTAATCATGTCCGGACAAGGTCACAAGCATGTCCGGACAAGGTCACAAGCATGTCCGGACTAGGTCACAAGCATGTCCGGACAAGATCAGCTTAAGCACCGTAGGTATGCCTGTAGCATATGATTGGACTTTAAGATATGAAGTTCCAGGTGACCAGACACTCATATCTGGAACTATGCAGGCAGACAGCTAGATGCCTGTAGACTAGTACATGAACACCAGTAGGTGGACACCTGAATATCTGAAAGCGGACACCTGCATGTCCATAAACGGATGGCTGGATGTCTGTATATGGATGGCTGGACGTCCGTATACGGATGGCTGGATGTCCGTATACAGATGGCTGGACGTCCGTATACGGACATTCATTGAATTTATTAAAAATAATTACTACTTATATTACAACTGTAATTTCAGAATGTACTACTTGCAATTAATCAGGATCATCTGTTGTAGACGGGATTAAAATGAACATCAAAAATATATTCAATAATTGCACTTTTAGCCTCTATAAATTGAAGATGAAATTTATTAGACAGTTTTCTGTCTATTTTCATTATAGTTTTGGGTAGATAGAGTGAAGCAAGCATGCAACTGTATCAGTATATATTTTATGTTACTTCACAGTATGTCCATATCAAATATTTGGCCTATTTAACTGCATTTATATTGCAGTCATGCTGTAATAAATTATATTAATTTGTGATTTATTTCACAAAGTTCTCATCATAACTCAGTTTGAAGATATCCCTAATATCTTGATTAGTATTTATAGAAGTAGACAATGTAAATATCTAGAATGTCCTATCCTAAATGCTACTGAAATCATTGTTGAGAATATCTTATTTAATTACTTTTTCTGTTGACATGTTTAAATTGAAACAAAGGAGACTTATCTCACCTTATTTACACCTCTTCTTCTAGAACAAAAGATCATCTGCATCCAGTGTGGCCCGATCCTGTCTGTTGCGAAGTTGCTGCCCTTTGGGCTGCCGTTATTTCTTGGGAGACTCAAAACGAGTTTACGGTCAGTTCTCTGTACACTCTCATCTAACATGCACTCACTGGACGGCCACTAGAACGGGACCGTGAACGCGCCTGCACAGTCGCCGCTGATGGGGGCCATAGTGTCCAAATCGCGTTTCGGCCCGGGCTTCCACGACGTCATCAAGAAGGAGTCCGATTTCAGCATCAGTGTCGCCCGCTGCCTCGATTCCCTTTGCCATTCGACATTTGCAAAGGTGGTCAAGATGCACGGCATGCACGGCCTCGCAGCAGTTGCGCGTGCTCTCCTGGAGGCCTGCAGCAGCGACGAATCCTTTGCCGTTTTTTTAATTCCTCTTGCCCATGAACTTACGACTGTCTTGAACATCACGTCTGCAGTCCCTCCCGCTCGCACAGATGACAACGACGACAGCAGCGACAGCGACGATGACAACAACCCAGTCGTCGCACTCACCGGCACAGTACTCAACGCCCTCAACGCCCGGGACGGTTACGATGCAGCTCCCGCTACTCGTGCTATACGGGCACTTCTGCCGCTTTTAGGCGACGAGAAGAAGCGCGACGTGTCGCATCTGGAAGCCGAAGCCGGGCCTTCCAAGCGCGCTCGCCGTTCGCCTGGCGAATAAACTTGTCTATTAGTATCGTCATCTGTGTCGCCCTCTCGGCACTGTCTTGTTGTGTATATACTATTGTTTTTGGATGCTTCAGATGCTGCTACATAAAACTTGGCTTGATTTGGAAATGCGCCGAAGGCCGCAAGAATTTAAGACAGAAACACCCGTGTGAACAGATGACCGCGACGCATCGAGCCCCATGACGTGTTCTCGCGTGTGCGCTGGCAATCTTGTCTTCCACTTCCACCACCTCGTCATCCCTCAACGGTGTCTCTGCTAGCTCCCCTCCCGTCGCTAGCGCTCATGGTGTGTGTACTGCCTAGCTCGTCATTGAGCATGAGTTGTGCTGACCCACCGCTTTACATAGACGCTTAATACTTGCTAGGGGGTCGAGGGGAGTCGGTAAGACCTGCTCGCATCTGCTTGTCTCATCTACTAAACGACTGCACAGGCAGTCACTACTTGCAGTGGGCGGGTAACAATCCCAGCTGCTGCGCCGATAATTTTGGCTCCGCGCGCGGCGGGTTTCACCCGGAGCGAACGTTGTGATCGCTTTAGTTGAGTTGGCGATTTTTGTTTGCATTTTTTCCCTTAGAGGGCGGATTTTTACTCGCAGTCCCGCTCTTTTTCACTGCGCCGCTGAATTTTCACCTCCTTTTTGTTTTGCCCTGTCTGTCTTTTCAACGTTCCAACCAGTTTCAACCGCGTCATGCGGGAGTTTTTACTTCACGCATGTTTTTTACCTTGTGGACTTTTCACTTGTTTTGTTTTACCCTAACCGCCTTTTTGCCCTGTGAGCTGATTTGCGGGCTGCTGCTGCCCCGGTCGCTAAGGCACGGCTACTTGCCTTGTACTCGTGTTGTGCTCCGTCTGACTATATGTGTAGCTTACTATTAGTTGTATAGCCTGCGTCGGTACTGTTTGTGACATCCACTATGCATAGAAATATGGCCGCAAGCTATATATTGGTTTTCCCCTGCGACTGCGAGGTGAAAAGCCCGGTCCGTTGATCAATGACCGGGTAATAACCGGGTGGCGCCGGCCGGTGAAATGATCAACGGCAAAGAGAGATATAAGGTTGAGGCCGTCATTAACTCCAAGATCATTGGCCGAGGTGCACATCAGAGCATGATGTACTTGGTCAAGTGGAAGGGGTATTTGGATCGTCACAACAGTTGGGAGCCTATCGCCAATTTGATGCAGGACACCAAGGAGGCAATCAATGATTATCACAAGGCAAATCCACGGCACAAACATGTCTAGTCGTGTGCGAGAGGGTGATGTTATGGACACCCGGTTATCTATTATATTTCTTTTCCTTTTCTGGACTACCATGTGACCTGGCAACTTCCGTGACTCATGCCCTTATTTGTCCTTGTTCACCTTGTCACACCTATATAAGACTTTGTCCCCACTTGTAACTTACTCTTAATCTTGATCTAGTCAATACACCAGCTACCTAGCCGCCTGCCTTGGTCTCCTCACTCGCCCCTTTGTCTATGTTAGTAAGCAGTTGCCTAGCCATTGCTGACAATGTGTTGTTCTTACATGATGCTTCAGACAAGCTGAAGTGCAATTTTGCCAAGCCGCGAGTTGTGTGTGGGGAGATTTCTTATTACCCAGGCCATGCCATCCAGACTCCAGTCCTGAGACACAAGTGCTCAAGCAGAGTGGGACTGGTGCGAGTCTACCATAGAGGCATTGGGCTGACACATACCGTCGACAATGCTTATCCTGTCTAAATCAAGTGCTCACTCAGGCAAGCCGCAAGCTCCACCATGCTCAACCACATTCAACAGCACTCAGCTAAGACTTTACAAGTTTTGACAACATCCTCTTACAGCCATTTTCAGCATCATTACACTCACTATACTTCTGGGAAATATATAGTCTGACACTACCACATGGATCAACTTCTATACAATGACTTACAATGGCCTCTTGAATCTATCAAGAACACTTGGCGCATACTTCGCCAGAGTGGTCTCTCCTCGAGCCCTCTGCCTCGCTTCGCGCTCCTTCGCCAGCTTCTCGCGAATCGCGACCTGAAAAGACATCATTCAGCCCCCAACATCGCCATGCAGCGAACAAGAAGACTTACGGCCTTAGGATCTATAACATTCTTCCTCTGCTTCCGCAAGAACCTCTTCGTCGCCTTATTCCGACCCCGCATCCGCTTCTTCTCTTTCTCCTCTTTCCTCTTCGCCCTCTCCTCCTTCGTCAGCTTGCTACCTGCACCCTCCTCGCCATCAGCACCGTCCATATCCGCGTCCGAGTCGGAGTGCACCTCGGTCGTATCGGCTTTACCGCCCACTTCGAGCCGGGCGAGGCGAGGAAGACGCGCGAAGGGCGTATCGGCTTCGACACGGGGTTGAGATGCGAGACCGCCGATGAACTCTGGGTCGAGCGCGATTGCGTCTGGTTGTATCTACAGAATTCGCCCATCAGATCAGAGACGCGCAGAGAGAACAAGCAGCGAACGCACCTTGTCCAACAACCCGCGCACCTCCCTCTCCCTCCTCGCCTTCTTATTCTCGAACGGATCCGCCTCCAACGAATCAAAGTTCGGCTCCCCAGCCCCAGGCACCAAGATCGAGCTGATGCCCTTCCCATGCCCAACACTCAACACATCACTGAACGGGCAGAATCTCAGCCCTTGCAGCGGCCGGTGCGGGACGGGATGCGTGAGGTACAAAGGCGGCGCGACGTGTGGCGTAAAGGGCTGCACGATCGCGGGTCGATGGTGTACGTTGACCGTGCCGCCGCTCGCAACGGCCAACATTCCTTTCTGCGACCAGTCGAGCTCCGCCGGTCCACCACGCGCGCTCCATTCGCGTACTGCGCCCTTCCAATTCCTACAATCCCAGACTTTGACGCGCCCGTCTGCGCCTGAAGTCGCCATGTACCTCCCCGCGGAGCTAGAATCAACCGCAATACTCTGCACGGGACCCAGATGCGACAGGAGTCGTACAGCCGGCTCGGGCATATTCGGCGTCCAGAGCGTAACCTGCCCGTTCGCATGGCCGGCGTGGAGTACCGCGTTGTGCTTATTTTGCGTGAGTACGCTACATGGACCGAGCTTCGTGCGGTGTTCGGCGACGATCTGACCCGTAGATGTGTCTTGGTATTTCAAATAACCGGTCAGGCCGACGGATGCGAGGAGCCAGTGAAAGGGGAGGAACTCGAGACGCGTAGGCTCGACATGCGATTTCAAACGGTGAAGCTCGACACCATCGCGGTCGTAGATGAACACGCATTTCTTCTGCGCTACGGCGTACATCATATGGTCCTGCAAAAACCTGGTCTTTTTCAACATTATATCACATTTATGCGCGGAGACAAAGAGAAAGAGGACGTACGTGATGTCCCTGCACGTCTCGCCGAGCTGCAACTCGCTATGCATAGAGCCCGTCTGCCAATCAAAGGTCGCGACATGTCCTTTGTGTCCCACTACCGCCATGTGCCTCCCGTTCCTCGTATACCGCACTCTATACGGCCCGCCGTCGAGATTCAACTCCCTCCTCCCCTTCGCCGCCTCCGCACCCACAGCCTTCGCAATCTCGTCCTGGCTCACGCGCCATGTTCTCTCCAGCTCTCCTTCAACTTCTAATGTTCCGGCGTCGTTGGACGCAAGTAGCGCAGCGTCAGCCGCAAGCTGTTTCGCGCGCGCAGACTGCGCAGATTGCCTGTCGAGGGTGGCGCGTAACTTTTTATTCGTGATATGCGTGTGCTTTTTGGCGCCAGAAGGTGCGGGGCCACGCATAGAGCGCGGCACAGATGTGCTCGCTTTCGCTATCAGGTTGTCCATTGAGGAGGATGGAGGGAGGAAGTGACTGGCAGAAGTTCAGCAGCGGAAAAGTTGATCGGCCTTCGGAGCGTCGGGCCGGAGCAAGAACGCGCCCACGCGAGTTGTGTTTTCGTGGCGTCGATGCTTGCTCTCTCCCTCCGCCATGTCGCTCGACACAATCTGCCCTGTCAGCGCGCACTGTTCCAGGCTCGGTGGCTGAGCACCAAGGAAGCTCTACGCGTGAAGAAGTCCATAGAGAATGATCTAGCTAGGCTTGAGGATGAGAACGCTAAGGTCTTGAATGCTGTCAAGGCAGGACATGATGCTAGTGTCTCACTCGGTGAAGCGGTACGTCTTTATGATATACTCCTAATGTTCATATCTCACTGACTCTCTTGGTTTAACACAGGAAGGCGAGAGTAGTCACATAGACGTCGCCGCGCTCAAACAACGCAAATCCCTCCAACCACTCGCCGATGCCTGGACCGAGTGGCACCGTCATCGCGACCAACTTACGGACGCCCTCGCCCTCCTTGAGACACCCGATCTCTCTGACCTCGCCCACGCCGAAGCCATTGAAGCCTTCTCGTCACTCGCATCTACCGCACCCAAGCTCCCGGCCCTCCTAATCCCGCCTTCGCCTACGGCGCACATGTCCGCGTTGGTCGAGCTCAAGAGTGCGGTAGGCGGAGCAGAGAGTAGTCTGTTCCTGCAAGAGCTATTGGGCGTGTATACTCGGTTCGCGCATGCAAGAGGCTTCGAGCCCACAGTCGTTGGCGCACATGATCTGGATGCGGGTGGAGTTAAGAACGCTATCCTGGAGGTTGGCGGAGAAGGGGCGTATGACGCGCTAAGATGGGAGAGTGGCGTGCATCGCGTACAACGGGTCCCGGCGACTGAGAGCGCCGGTCGCGTACATACCAGTACTGTCGCTGTCGTGGTATGCTCCTCACGTACACTTCTGTAACGAAGTCGCTCACCCTGTTCACTAGGTTCTTCCTTTGGCCGAAGAATCCAGTGGCGACTCCGAAGAGGCGTTATACAAGATGGAAGACATCCGTCTCGAAGTCATGCGCGCTCGCGGTGCAGGCGGACAGCACGTCAACAAGACGGAGTCGGCTGTACGCCTGACGCACATACCGACGGGTATCACCGTGTCCATGCAGGATGAGCGCAGTCAACATCAGGTGAGCACACGTTCTCCTTCCTTCCATTGCAAGAGTACCCCTGACTGTCAACCTTGCGCCAGAACCGACGCCGAGCATTCCAAGTTCTAAGTGCACGCCTCATGGACATTCGCCTCGTCCAACAACAAGCCGCCCACCGCGCCCAACGACGCGGTCTAGTCAAAACGGCCGACCGGAGCGAAAAGATCCGGACGTACAACGAGCCACAGGTGCGCATCCTCCTTCTCACCTCGGCAGCTGGACTGATTGGTCTTTGACAGGACCGTGTAACGGACCATCGGCTCGGGAAGGTACACTTCTCTTGGGAAGACGTCGTCCGCGGAAACGGATTGCAGGCTATTGTTGAGGATCTGGCCGTGCGTGCTGGCACGGAAGAGCTCGAGGCTACTCTTGAGAAGCTTGAGGCGGACGCCGCTGCGCCTGGTCCGAAAGTGTAGATATGATGCTGGTGGCTCTGGCACAATCAAGACTTCACTCCCCGCACCGAGAGAAAGATCTGGTGTGGGGGCTGGTTCGTGTCCTGCTCTGGCGGGATAGATTGCGATGCGTATCGTATGACATTGTATATCGATCCCATTCACCTTATCTTGCTGTAATGCACACGTAATCGACGCAATCCTACCAAATACTGATTCTCTGCCACCTGGGCAATCCCCCTCGCTAATATGCCATGATCGTCGTCGTCATCTCTATCACTATATATATCGTTGGCGTCGCCTACTCCTTCTGTTAGTTCCGGATGAAGCACCCTAGATAAGCAGTGTGCATTACCATTCTAGAGATCTTTTCATCTTCCCTCATTCGTAGCAGTCGATGCAACGAATCTCGACCCTCTCGTTGAACGCGCGAAGCTCAGGCTCCTTCCTGATACACTCGGCGATATAATCCGCGTATCTAAACCTCTCGAACTCGAGAGTGCGCCATGTGACCATCTCCGACGTACTCCACGCTTCAGTCAACGCCTCAACAACGCTATCCGCCGTGATAGTCCGAACCTCGGAAAATGGGATGGAGCCCGCCGTATCATGACAATCGAAATCAGCCAAACGCAAGACCTCAAGCTCAGGAAACCGAGTCCCACAACTCGCCAAATACCCCGCAGTAAAGTCCATGACTGCATCGCCTTGTAGAACGAGTGTACGCACGGCCGGCATCGCAGGTAAATGATCAAGAAAAGTGTAGCAGTGCTGACGGTCCCGTGCGACGTGCAGCTCGTGTGTGCCGGCGAAGATGGGCAAAGAAAAGTAAAGCTTGCACGACGACTCGAGGACGTTTTCGGAATGTGCAGCATTGTGCTGTGCATGAAGTATCGAGAACGACAGTTCGGAGGGTAAAGTTGTCGATGGGGAAGTTTGCCGTGATATATCTGGTTTGATGATCCTGTCATCCAACGACACGATGTCGTAGGACTGGTTCGCAGCTATTGCGGCCGAGAAGTGGTGTCGAAGTGCTCGGGCGTATAGGTCCTTGTGAGCTCCCCAGTCATCATACACCTCATCCGCTTCCAAACATAAAGCAGTTCGTGGCGCAAGAGAGCAGTAGATGAAAATCATCGCTGCCGGCTTGAATTCGCCAGTTCGAGGAAGTATAAGCCGACGCAGACGTGGCAAGTCTACGCAACGAATATGATGGGTAGTCGAGGGAGAAGTAGGCGGCCGATCGAGCTCGTGTCTGATCATGATCTCAGAGCTGTTGTACATGTAATTCAACTCTTCTATGTTCGGTACTTTTTTCAGGACATCGATCATCTCGTCAATAGTGCGCCACGCGCTCGCGTTATGGATATCCAAATTGCGCAGTGTGTCTAGCTGTATGCTGTTGGAGAGGGACACCGAGTAGCCACGGATCGACAACCTCTGTAAGCGGGGAGGCTGGGGAACACTGAAGAGATTGATGGTGGCCTGTGGCGCTAGAAGAACCATTCCGTGTGCGTTTTTAAGAGAGATGGATTCAAGTAACGGAGCGTCATCAAAAGACAGCGTGCTCAGAGACCGCAAGATCGGCTGGGAGCCGGCACTTGTGTCTCCGGAGAAGATGTAGAGATGGCCGTAGCTATTGGCTGGACCGGGGCTAACGCTGATGACTTTGGCTCGCGATATTCTCGCGGCCGCGAGGTTCATCGCCTCCGTCATGCGCTGCGTGGCCTGGGATGTAACCACAAAGCAAAGCGCCAGCGATGTATTCGCAGATCTTTCGCAGCACGTCTCCGTCCAAGCTAGAGCTGTATCATATCTCGGCCAGTGATCCCAAAGTTGACTGTATGCGATGGCAAGGCGGCGCCACCGCTGCGAGACGTGAGAGAGATAAGCGCAACGGGGAGGGCCATGGTAGTCATCGCCCTTGAGGTCGTCGACCTTAATCCAATGGAATATGATGAGCAGAACTTCGTTAGGCAGCGAGTCGATCGTAGCCGCTTCAATAGTGGTAGCCATATTCAGGGATGAATAGTAGACGTGGTGATGGTCGCAGTCTGAAATCAAGGCTGCCTCGCTTCCCGGGCTGACCAGTCAGCGAGCGGGTGTTGCCGAGATCAACGACGGCTGGAATCAAGGCGGCCACTCTACCTCTGCTCACGACTCCCATCTCTTCCTCTCGCTTTCCTTGTCCGCGGCCATGTCTCTCCCCAAGGTGCGTTCATACATACAACGTTTATATCTATGCAACTGACGGCCGGATGCAGCGGATCATCAAGGTTTGCGCGCGATATTCGGCTCACTCATTCTTGCGCGCACCTCACACGACCTGTCTACTAGGAAACCGAGCGCCTTGTGGCGGATCCCGCTCCTGGCATCTCCGCCGCGCCTCATGATGATAACTTGCGATACTTCGATGTTACGATCCAGGGCCCGGACGGCTCGCCGTTCCAGAGTGCGTCATATGTCTAGTACATACTTTCGCAGTGACTGACGACTACATCCCTACTACTTGCCCATCTCACAATCCTCTCCTGTTGCTCTGCGAATGCACGCATCCTTGATTGTGTTTCTAGATGGCGTCTTCAAGCTCGAGCTGTTCCTGCCGGAGGAGTACCCCATGGCACCGCCCAAGGTGCGCTTCCTTACAAAGATCTACCACCCCAATATCGGTACGTAAAGCCATGCTATGATCAGATACGTCCCTGAGGCGCTGCTCCGTAGACAAGCTGGGCCGTATCTGCCTGGATATCCTGAAAGGTACGTTTCGATGTTCCGCGCAAGCGGTGCACTTTCGTCTGTCGTCTCGTTCATGACCTCATTTCGCGAACCTCACAGACAAATGGTCTCCCGCTCTGCAAATCCGCACCGTTCTGCTGTCTATCCAGGCCCTCCTGAGCTCCCCGAACCCAGACGATCCGCTGGCTACGGACGTCGCGAAGCACTACAAGGAGGACGAGAAGGACGCTCAGCGCGTTAGCAAGGAGTGGACGGAGAAGTACGCGACTGCCTGAGTCCGCCTTTTCTGCTGCTTCTACGGGCTGCGATGTACGATGGATTGGAAGATAGAACTCTGCGTATTCTTTTGGTGTTGTACCTCTAATGCATACTAGCTTTTCATGGGAGACACTGCTGCGATGGCTTGTCACTGCAGACTCCGATAGCGCGCAGGCAGCGTCCTAGGCTAGCCTCGCTAGCCAGTGACAGATATGAGGCTCGCGGCTGAGTGCATCATGCCTGCCTCAGGCCTATGCTTATACGGTCTTCCGGATAGATACTCTGCGCAACCGCGTCACGGAATATTTGAGATGTTAGTACAAGCCTGTACAAGCAGTACCCATAAGCTCATCGAGCCTGAAGTGATTCCTGTCTTCAATTGATGCGCCGAATGTGCGGCCCAGACTGATATCGCACTCTTGCGGCAAGGCTCCAGTCGTACTACTCATTCTCTATCCTCACTTCACGTACTTTATGTCGATGGCACTATCGGAAAAGGGCGACGTTGTCAAGAAACGTCTGCACATATATGAGCTCACGTGCGACTGCTTTCCGTGACGTCGGAGTCATGAGCCGACAGCCCGCCGAATTTCAAGCCCATCGCGAAAGTAGCTCTATCGCACCTCTGCTTCTCCCCACCACCACTCCCTCCCCTCTCAGTAGCCATGCTCGCAGCGCGCAACCAGGCCGCTCAGCTTGCTGGTCGCGTCGTCGCCCGTCGCGTGGCAGCTCCCGTCGTCGCTGCTGGCGCACGGCGTGCTCTGGCGCCTCAGAGCGCTCGGGCTCATATTCGGGCTATACAGACTGTTGCTCAGACTGACCGGGTATGCATGAGTTCTTGTATCACCCTCATACTCTACTACAGCACATTCTTTGCTGTGTTATGCCATCCAGTTCCTTATCTCGACATGTGGCGCAGAATGTTGACATTTTGACACAGGAAACTATCACTCGTCTGCTCTACTCGCTCGGGACCAAACGCGAGGTTGAGCGCTACCTGCGCATCTTCTCGTCCTCCTCGAACCCGTCCGAGCCCGCGAAATTTGCCGTCATCAAAGTTGGTGGCGCCGTGCTCGAGCAGCTGGACGAGCTCGCGCTCAGCCTGAGCTTCCTTTACCGCGTTGGCCTGTACCCCGTCATCCTTCACGGCGCAGGCCCACAGCTCAACGAGCTCATCGAGCGCGAGGGCGTCGTACCGGACTACATCGACGGTATCCGAGTCACCGGTGCGGTCCGCTCTACAATTTCTTGGGTGTGCCGGCATGTAACCGACTGCTCCCCACAGATGCGAAGACCCTCCAAGTCGCGCGCCGCGTTTTCATGGAGGAGAACCTGAAGATCGTCGCAGCGCTCGAGAAGCTCGGCACACGCGCTCGCCCCATTACCTCCGGCGTCTTTACCGCCGACTTCCTCGACAAGGAGAAGTACGGGCTCGTCGGAAAGATCACCAAGATTGACAAGCGCCCGCTCGAAGCGTCTATCCGCGCCGGCGCACTTCCCATTCTCACCAGTCTCGCCGAGAGCGCCGACGGTCAGATTCTCAATGTCAACGCTGACATCGCCGCCGGTGAGCTCTCAAAGGAGCTTGAGCCCATGAAGATTGTGTACCTCAACGAGAAGGGCGGTCTCTTCCACGGCGTTACTGGCGAGCGTCTCAGCGTCATCAACCTCGACGAGGTACGGAACACAGTCGAATCATTCACAGCATTTTGTCTGACTATCTGCGCAGGAGTACGACGGTCTCATGAAGCAGTCCTGGGTGAAGTACGGCACCAAGCTCAAGATTCGCGAGATCAAGGAGCTGCTTGACCACCTCCCACGCTCTTCCTCCGTCGCCATCATCTCGGTCGACTCGCTCCAGAAGGAGCTGTTCACCGACTCGGGTGCTGGCACGCTCATCCGTCGCGGCTACAAGCTCTTCAAGCACCACACCATTGAGGAGGTCGGCGCCGACCGCCTGCGCCAGCTCATCAAGGACCGCGACCCCGACGTCCTCTCTGGTGCTCAGAGCGTGACCGAGGTTCTGAACACCATCAAGCAGACCCCCTTCACCATCTACGGTGACGAGCCTCTCGACGCCGTCGCGATTGTCTCCCACCCGGAGGGCGAGGTGCCCGTCCTGACGAAGCTCCTTACTTCGCGCGCAGGCGTGATGAACAGCGTAGTCGACAACGTCTTCGCCTCCATCAAGAAGGACCACCGCCGTCTGTTCTGGACTGCGCACGCCGAGGACGAGAACCGTGCCTGGCACTTCGAGCGCGCTGATGGCTCGTTCACGCGCGCGGGCAAGAGCCTGTTCTACTACGGCGTGCAGGACGTCAAGGAAGTTGAGCGCATCATCGGCGACCTTGAGACCAAGGGCCGCATTCCCCGCTCGTACCTCCCCGTCGGCCCATCTGCGCCGCCGCACCGTGCCGGTGCCACGCCCAGCGCTGCCCGCTCCTTCTCGACGCTCGCACATCGCGTCCCCGGAAGCTCACGCGGCTACGCCACCGCCGCACCGAGCACCTCGCCCAAGAAACTCGCGCTCATCGGCGCACGCGGCTACACCGGCTCCGAGCTCGTCAATCTCGTCTCCTCTCACCCGCACCTCGACCTCTCGCACGTCTCCTCCCGCCAACTCGCCGGACGCGCGCTAGACGGGTACAAAAAGTCCGCCCTGAACTACTCGAACCTGTCCGTCGAGGACGTCGAGCGGATGGAGAAGGACGGCGAGGTCGATGCTTGGGTGCTTGCTCTGCCCAACGGCGCGGCAAAGCCTTTCGTCGATGCTATTGATCGCGGGAAGGGGAAGGGCGTGGTGGTCGATCTGAGTGCGGATTACCGTTTTGAGGAGGGCTGGACGTACGGGCTGCCTGGTGCGCGCTCATCCGTGTAATTCTGTTTCGTGTTCACCAATGTAATATAATGTCTTCTTTTGCTCTGCAATCTCACAGAACTGTACGGCCGTGACAAGATCCGTGCCTCAAAGCGTATCGCGAACCCAGGATGCTACTCCACGAGTGCGCAACTGCTCATCGCGCCTCTTCTTCCGCTTCTCTCGCCGCCCGCATGGCCCACTGTATTCGGCATGTCAGGCTACTCGGGCGCAGGGACCGTTGCAGGCGCCACATCTCCCGACGGACAACCCACGACAGTGCCCAAAGTCTCCCCCGAAAGTCTCGCAGGCGGTGTCCGTCCCTACGCTCTCACAGACCACATCCACGAGCGCGAAGCCGGCACACACCTCTCTACCATCGGCGCGCAGCGCGTCCAGCTCGGCTTCATCCCTAGTGTCGCGCCCTGGCACAGCGGTATCATCAGCGTCCTAAACATGCCCTTGAACCGCGCCGCGAGCGCGCGGGAGGTGAAGGGGTTGTACGAGGAGAAGTACGCTGATGAGAAACTGGTCAGGATCCAGGGTCCGGTGCCGGAGGTTAAGGATGTGCAGGGACGGCATGGGTGGACCGTTGGTGGATTCCAGGTACATTCGAGTGGTGAGAGGGCTGTTGTTGTTGGTGGGTTGGATAACTTGCTTAAGGGCGCTGCTACGCAGTGCTTGCAGGTGCGCAGTTCTCGTCTTTCATATTCTCAGTGCAGTTTGATCTGACGCGCTTTTGCAGAACTTAAACCTTGCGCTCGGATACGACGAGTACGCTGGTATCCCTACTGAAAACTGAAGAACGTCCGTTCGGCACGCCTTCGCAAACCACTAGCATGGCTATACTTGAAAGTACCTTAAACTCTATACAATCTACGTGGATCGTATCATCAATGATGGAATGCTTGGGTGGCTAGTCTGGCTCGGGCTGAGATCACCGCCGTGCGTCAATGCGTGCAAGTGCAATTGCCACTGTTCCAGTACGATACAACGCATTTATGTTGTGATCTGCGAATGAACAGACCATGTCCTAACATCATCATCATGTGCTGTACTGTACAGGCCGTGGCAGTGAGCTCCCGGCGCGCAGGACGGATGGTAGTTGGCAGGTAAGTAGTGTATGCAGGTCCATGTGGACGAGATATACTGGGAACCCTCAAAAATAGGGAATCATGATGGCGGGGTCGGCGAAGTTCGAGGGCAGGTGGAAGGGTCGTGTATTCTTGGAGCGCCACTTTTCCCGCGCGTCGAAGCGCGTCGCGAGGTCATTGTTCTCAGCGCTTAACGACTATGACGATGCTCAGATGAATGAGATGTATACAGCATGCACACTCTCGAGCGTATGTAAGAAGCGAAAAGGAATGAGATGGAGGTGGCAGGCGGCCGGTGAGCGGAAGAACCAAATATATACGCGGCGGTTGCCGAGGGCCGTGTAGCTTGAACGCTCTTCCGTTGCCGGTGTTTAACAGCTTCTCCAACTCTTCTCTTTCCCTCACATTCTTTCTTGTCCTAATCAACCACCACCGCCGCCATGCTGCCCACCGCGCTGCTCGCACTGGGCCTGGCCGCCGTGTCGCCCGCCGCGGCCGCTGACTCTCTAGGCGGGTCCATCGTCGAGGCCGGCGACACGCTCGTCTCCGCTATGATGGTCCGTCGTGTGCTCGCGGGTTGCCACGGCGCCTTCTCATTTCTTCCATTAGATGTTCGTCGGAAAGACCAACAAGGTCTACATACTGGACAAGGTCGAGGGCAACGCCGAGCAGATCAACGGCCATTCATTATACGCCTCTGTATGGTGCGTACCGAGCCTGCTGCGGAGCGGCCGCAGTTCATTCACAGCTACGTACAGGGACCTCGACACCAAGACAGCGACGCCGATGGACGTACAAACAAATCCATTTTGTGCCAACGGAATGCATCTGCCAAACGGCTCGTTTGCTGTCTTTGGTGGGAACAACGCTGTCGGCCCAGGTGGCGACAACCATATAAACGGCAGCACAACGGCGTTCGACCCTACATATCAGGACTACAATGGCACACAAGCTATTCGCGTGATCACTCCCTGTGATGGCTCTGTAGATGGCGATGCGGCGTGTGCATGGGTGGACAGTCCGACCTCGGGACTGAGAATGCAGAGCGGTCGCTGGTACCCCGGTGCAGAAGCGTTGGGAAACGGCTCGGTTATCATCATTGGAGGCTTCGTCGCTGGCGGGTACATCAACAGGAACTTCCCGAACACCGATCCTTTCTACTCGGGCGGCGCCAGTAACCCTACGTATGAGGTCTACCCGAATAACGGTGTCACACAGCGTGTCATGCAATTCATGGGCAAGACGTCTGGTCTCAACTCGTACCCGCTCACGTATCTCATGAAGTCTGGCCAACTGTTCGTCCAAGCCAACTATTCAACCAGTACGTCATGATTCAACGCCCATCACACGCATCGTCACTGACTATATGCGCCTATCTAGTTCTCTGGGACGCTGACAATAACGTCGAAACAGCATTGCCCGACATGCCGAACCAGATTATCCGCGTCTACCCCGCTTCCGGCGCAAACGCGATGATGCCGTTGACTGTCGCCAACAACTACGAACAGACTATCCTCTTCTGCGGTGGATTCTTCATGGAGGATGATCAATGGGGCGACTACAGCTACCCTTACATCAACACCTGGGAGCAGGCTTCAAGCGCCGACTGCCAACGCATGACGCCCGAACCGGCTGATGGATCTACGCCCGCGTACGAACAAGATGACGATATGCCGACCGGCCGCACGATGGGCCAGTTCATCCTGCTTCCCGACGGCAAGATGCTGGTCGTCAACGGTGGTCGTAACGGCACTGCTGGATATGGTACTTCCACGAAATCTACACCGCAGGCTCAGATGCCCTTCGGCGAGAGTTTCGCCGCTGAGCCTCAAGGCCAGCCTGCCATCTACGATCCTACGGCGGCAAAGGGCTCGCGCTGGAGCACCGAGGGTCTCGCAACGTCCAGCATTGCGCGTCTGTACCATTCGTCTGCGCTGTTATTGCCCGACGGCTCCGTCATGATCGCTGGTTCCAACCCGAATATCGACGCCAACACCAGCTCGCTCATTCCCTTCCCTACGACCTACAAGGCCGAGTACTTCTACCCACCCTACTTTAATGCCACGACTCGCCCCGTGCCGACCGGTGTCCCCGACAAGCTCTCATACGGCGGCACGTACTTTGACGTATCCGTCCCCGCCAGCAGCTACTCCGGCAGCGCGAACGACGCCGCGGACAACACCAAGATCTGGCTCTCACGCCCGGGTTGGACGACGCACGCTATGAACATGGGCCAACGCATGATGCAGCTCAACAACACCTACACCGTCAACTCCAACGGCACGATCACCTACCACGTCGCTCAACCGCCTTCAAACCCCAACCTCTTCCAACCCGGCCCTGCGTACCTCTGGGTAACGATCAACGGTATCCCCTCGAACGGCTCCTACCTTATTGTCGGTTCAGGCGACTTCGGTGACCAACCTACGTCCGCGGACAGCGTTCTCCCCGACAGCGTCCGCGTAGATAGTGCCAGCGGCACCGGCTCGAACTCGACTTCCGGCTCCGACGACGACTCGAGCTCAGACAGCGGCAGCTCTCACACGACGATGATTGTCATCGGCGTCGTGGCAGGTGTAGCAGCCGTCGGCGTCCTAGGCGCCATATTCGGCATCTGCCTCTCGCGCCGCCGTCGTGCCGCCGCCCAATCCTCGCTGCCAGGCCTGGGCCAAGACATGACGTCCGACAAAGCCGGCGCCTACCCTATGAGCGGCATGTCCAGCAGTCCCATGGGCCAGCGCGGCATGCGTACGAGCGACAGCTCCGCTTTCGTTCCCTTAACGCAACATGCGAACCCCTCATCTATGAACTTGATGGGTGGGAGCGAGAGAGCGCCGAGTCCGTACCAGGACGATTATTATGGCGATTCGAGGGCGGGGACGCCTATTGCCCAGCATGGAGGCGGGTATGGTGGGGGGTATGGCGCGGGGCAGGGCAGCTTCGATCCGTATGATGCGCCGAGGCCTAGCAATGTGTCGAATCTGGGGCCGGAGAGGTACCACTGAGAACGCTCGGTGTGTGATGAAGGGAGAAGAGGATCTGAACGAATTCTTGGATAGCTTGCTGGACGAGCCTCGGCATGAGATATGGACTCGACTCGCGACGACGCTTTGACATTTACATCGTACCTAGTTTCATCTTTCCGGCCCGCAGCATCTAATTCTTCTTTTCCATCACCTTTCTCTGCAAGCTCGATGACGCTCGATATTTCTGAGCGCAGAGTATATATACCGGATATTCATCATCTAGTACCCCATCCCCACACCATTTTGGACTTGCCAGCTCTCGTCGCTCGGACAGTTTATCCACTCACGGACAAGCCACTCGTTTTTCCATTCTTGTATACGTTCTGCGACTTCGTTCTCGGCGTGAAGTTGTCATAGGATGAACTCGGGAAGGGGTACGCGCACCGGAGTGATGGTAAGTTGCTTGAGAAGTGCTGTGGCGTGAAGACGCGTGTTGTATACGTTCTTCAGTCACACGACTTGTATATGAGATGAATGGGCACGTACACCAGATTCCTGCATCTATTCACGATGCTATCAGGGCCGCTCCTGCTCGTAGTCCAGACATTGTCGAGGCGCCTCGGAACGCCGCGATACGTTCCTCCCACGCAGCAACAGTGCCCCGCGCGCATCATGCATCATACTCAAACGGGTACCGCTCTAGAGCCTACCTCGTGCATACATGAGGCTGAGATGTGGCGCGCACAAGCATCCTATTCCCCTCTGCTCTCTACCTCGCTGAACCCTTGACCTCGACGCGCATTAGCCGCCATGCCTAATATCCTGTAAATCAGGTGACCGCGGCACCGGGCGGTGCTTGCTCGGCCGCCTACGCCCGTTGTGTGCCCTTCACCTCAACCTCCAACTTGGCCCTTTCCCTCTTTCCTCCCAGTTATGCTGTCAAAAGCTTTACTGGGTCTCGCGCTGGCCGCCGCGCCCCTACCGCTGGCACGAGCCGACGGCTTGGGCGGCACGATTGTCGAGGCTGGAGATACTCTTGTTTCCGCTATGATGGTGCGCAGAGACATGTTCGTAATTTTGCCGGGACGAGCGCTTATGCTGGGTATTTGCGTAGATGTTTGTGGGCAAGACGAGCAAGGTGTATATTCTGGACAAGGTCGAGGGCAACGCTGAGCAGATCAACGGCCATTCATTATACGCCTCTGTCTGGTGCGCACTCCATCACGCTCCGCATGGTCGCGCGCAGACTAGCTGATGGGTCGTCTCTAGGGACCTCGAGTCCAAAACGGCGACAGCAATGGACGTACAAACCAACCCTTTCTGCGCCAATGGCATGCACTTGCCGAATGGCTCTTTTGTTGTGTTCGGCGGGAACAACGCCGTCGGTCCTGGCGGCGATAATCATATCGAAGGGAGCACGACAACGTTCGACCCCACATATCAAGATTACGGCGGGACGAAGGCTATTCGTCTGATTACGCCGTGTGACGGCGATGTGAACACCGATGCGGGGTGTACGTGGGTCGACAGCCCGAACGGGCTGCAGATGCAGAGTTCGCGGTGGTACCCCGGTGCGGAGGCGTTAGGGAACGGCTCGGTCATCATTATTGGCGGTTTCTCGTCCGGAGGGTACATCAACAGGAATTACCCGAATAAGGACCCCTTTTACTCGGGCGGTGGTAGCAACCCGACGTACGAGCTCTACCCGAATAACGGTGTTACCGAGCGGGTGATGAACTTCATGGGCACGACCTCTGGTCTCAACTCGTACCCGCTTACGTATCTGCTCTCATCCGGCAAGCTCTTCGTGCAGGCCAACTACTCGACCAGTGAGTGTTCCGACCTCGTTGCCAATGATTCAGCGCTGACAGTGCTTGTCAATCAGTTCTGTGGGACGCCGACAACAATATCGAAACGCCGTTGCCTGACATGCCCAATCAGATCGTCCGCGTTTACCCTGCGTCGGGCGCCAATGCGATGATGCCGTTGACTGTTGCGAACAACTACGAGCAGACAGTTTTGTTCTGTGGTGGATTCTTCATGGAGGACGACCAGTGGGGAGACTTCACTTACCCGTACATCAACACCTGGGAACAGGCGTCAAGCGCTGACTGTCAGCGCATGACACCCGAGCCCGCTGATGGTTCCACGCCCGCGTACGAGCAGGATGATGACATGCCGACCGGTCGCACTATGGGCCAGTTCATCCTGCTGCCTGACGGCAAGATGCTCGTGGTTAACGGTGGGAAGAACGGCACAGCTGGATACGGTACAGCGACCAAGGTCACGGTGCAGGCTGCAATGCCCTTTGGGGAATCGTACGCCGCCGAGCCCCAGGGTCAACCTGCTATTTACGACCCTACCGCGGCCAAGGGCTCTCGTTGGAGTACCGACGGTCTCGCAACCTCGAGCATCCCGCGTCTGTACCACTCGTCGGCTTTACTCCTTCCGGATGGCTCGGTCATGATTGCTGGTTCAAATCCGAACATCGACGCCAACATCACTTCGCTTGTGCCTTTCCCCACGACTTACAAAGCCGAGTACTTCTACCCGCCGTATTTCAGTGCTTCGACGCGCCCCGTGCCCTCCGGTATCCCCGACAAGCTCACATACGGTGGCGACTACTTCAACATCACAGTTCCCGCGTCTTCCTACTCGGGCGACGCAAATGATGCCGCGAACGCTACCGTCATCTGGATCTCTCGTCCTGGCTGGACGACGCACGCAATGAACATGGGTCAACGTATGCTACAACTGAACAACACATACTCGGTCTCGTCAGACGGTACAATGACCTACCACGTCGCACAGCTCCCGCCAAACGCGAACCTCTTCCAACCCGGCCCTGCCTACGTCTGGGTAACAATCGACGGTATCCCCTCAAACGGAACATATGTTATCGTCGGCTCAGGCAACCTCGAAACCCAACCTACCTCCGCCGCTTCCGTGCTGCCCGACAGCGTTCGCGCAGAAGGTGCCAGCGGCACAGGGTCAGGCTCCGGCACGAGCGGCTCGGGATCGTCGGGCACAGACGCAGCAGGAAACAGCACATCCAGCACTTCCCACACGGGCGCCATCGTTGGCGGCGTCGTAGCAGGCGTCGCCGCGATCGGCGTGATCGGCGCCATAATCGGTATTTGCCTCTCGCGCAAACGCCGCGCAGCCGCTCGCGGCGCTAACACGGGGATGGGCGAGAAGTACGCGATGGACGCTATGGCTGCTCCGAGACCTGGGTACGCACAAAGCCCGTACGGAGCGGATATGCGCAACAGCGATGCTACGGCGTTCGAGCCGCTCGCGCAGGGCGATTATGGTTCGAGCGCGAAGCTTGTTGGTGGAGATAGTGGACGCTCGTCAAGTCCGTACCGCGACGATTACAACTATAATGACTTGAGTAGGGCGGGGACGCCTAGTAATGCGCCGTACGACCCGTACGCTGGGCAGCCGCATGGGGGGAGCAACTTGAACCCTGGCCGGTACCAGTGATCATCGTCCCTTCTTCTGTCGTTGTTGTGTATGAGAGGGTGTGTCATGGACCTTAGTACTATAGCTATACTACTCACGTCTCATAAGGCCTGTGCTACGCTTCTCTCTTCCTGTCATTGCCACTCTTTATCGATCATCGTTGGGCTTGCGAACAGTACCCAGGCTTGCATTTCTATCCCTGACAATTTCCGGTCCTGGTTCTCGTGTTTTGTTGGCTTTCGGTCTCATAGTTTTGTCGATACCACATTGATAGCGTACTCCCTCTGGTTCATTAGGTTGTCAATGACAAGCACTGTATACCTCCAATCGCGTGCGGGTCGCATGACCGTGAACTCCAGCTTCGGAAATATTATAGGTGTCTGCAGGTCCATGGTGTGCGACGGCGGCGTCACCCCGCAACTTCCCCCGGCCGCAGCCGCTCGTCTTGGCCCCGACCTCCACAACACATCCGCGTAACATTGCTGTTCCGTGATCTGCATGGTTGATATCAACAGTCTGATTTTCGGTGTTGGACAAGTTGATAAGCTGTTTCGACCGACGGCGGGCGGCAGGTAGGCGCTCGCGACGGAAGGCCTCCCAAACGGCGAAAGCTGCTCTCATATTCTGGCAAGGCTGTGTCCCCAGCGACATCCGTACTTTTCCAAAGGCCAAGAATGAACAGAAGAACCTTTGTCCTGTATGCGGGCGCTAACCATTCCCGCCATCCCGACATCGTTCTCGGCGTCATTATTCCGTGTGCGAAGCGCGGTCTAGGACCGTGTATGGGCGCGGCCAGTGCGGGCTCGTCAGGTCTGGCCGGGACAACGGCGTCGCCTCGTATCATATATGCTCGGCGCCTCCGAGACTTAATTGACCTAGCTACCACCACCAACTGGCTTGACATTCCTTTACTCGTCTCCCTTTCTCTGTCTCTCGCTCTCGCTCTCTGACTCGTTCGTCATGGTGTCGTTGACGGCGAAAGCACTACTCGGCGCCGCGCTTTTGGCGGCGCCTGTCGCTCAGGCTAAAGACCTCGGCGGGCAAATCGAAGAAGTTGGCAGTACGCTTGTGTCTGCGATGATGGTGCGCTCTCTCTTTCTCTGCTGTCGAATACATGCTCATGGAATCATGTAGATGTTCGTGGGGAAGTCAAGCAAGGTCTACGTCCTCGACAAGGTCGAGGGCAACGCCGAGCAGTTGAACGGCCACTCTCTCTACGCTTCTGTCTGGTGCGCTACGTGACCTAGCTTGTACTTGTATCCGACTGACGTTTGCCTGCAGGGATATCGAGACCAGGACAGCTCAACCCATGGACGTACAAACCAACCCCTTCTGTGCGAACGGCATGCACCTGCCAAATGGTTCTTTCGTCGTGTTCGGCGGCAACAACGCCGTAGGCCCTGGCGGTGACAATCACGTCGCGGGCAGTACAACCGAATACGACCCCACCTACCAAGCCTACGGCGGCACCAAAGCCATTCGCGTTATCACTCCTTGCGACGGCGACGTCGACAGCGATCCCAACTGCGCATGGGTCGACAGCCCGAACGGACTGCAGATGCAGAGCTCGCGGTGGTACCCTGGCGCAGAGGCTCTCGGCAACGGCTCGGTCATCATCATCGGTGGTTTCTCGTCTGGCGGCTATATCAACAGGAACTGGCCCAACACCGACCCATTTTACTCTGGCGGTGGCAGCAACCCCACGTATGAGGTCTACCCGTCGAACGGTGTTACCCAGCGTGTGATGCAGTTCATGGGTCAAACATCGGGTCTCAACTCGTATGCGCTTACCTACCTCATGGCCTCCGGCAACCTCTTCGTGCAGTCTAACTATTCCACGAGTACGTGTCTCTCGTTTTACAAAGCTGAGATCCTTCCACTGATGCGGCTCGAATAGTTATGTGGGACGCTGATAACAACGTTGAGACGCCCTTGCCCGACATGCCCAACCAGATCATTCGTGTCTATCCCGCCTCGGGCGCGAACGCGATGATGCCGCTCCTCGTCGAGAACAACTACGAGCAAACTATTCTCTTCTGCGGAGGGTTCCACATGCTCGACGAAGAGTGGGGCAACTTCGCTTACCCGATGATCAATACTTGGGAACGAGCCTCGAGCGCGGATTGCCAGCGCATGACGCCCGAGCCTCTCGATGGCTCAACTCCCGCGTACAAGCAGGACGACGACATGCCGACTACGCGTACGATGGGCCAATTCATCCTGCTTCCTGACGGCAAGATGATGGTCGTCAACGGCGCGCGCAACGGTACCGCCGGCTACGGTCTCAACACGAACATCACCGCTCAAGCCGATATGCCTTGGGGTGAGTCGTACGCCGCCGAGCCGCAGACGCAGCCCGCTATCTACGACCCAACGGCCCCCGCCGGCCAACGCTGGAGCACAGAGGGCCTCGCGACGTCCAACATCCCGCGCCTCTATCACTCTTCCGCGCTCCTTCTGCCCGACGGCTCCGTCATGATCGCCGGCTCGAACCCGAACATCGACGTCAACATCTCGTCCATCGTCCCGTACCCTACCACCTACACTGCCGAGTACTTCTACCCTCCGTACTTCAGCGCCTCCACTCGTCCTGTTCCGACCGGCATTCCCGACACGCTCTCGTACGGCGGCGACTACTTCAACGTCACGGTGCCCGCGTCTTCGTACTCAGGCGACGCCAACGACGCCGCGAACGCCACTATGATCTGGCTCTCGCGCCCAGGCTGGACGACTCACGCGATGAACATGGGTCAGCGCATGATGCAGCTGAACAACACGTACACTGTCTCGTCCGACGGTACCATCACGTACCACGTCGCGCAGCCGCCGCCAAACCCTAACCTCTTCCAGCCCGGACCGGCCTATGTTTGGGTCACCATCGACGGCATCCCTTCCAACGGCACATATGTCATCGTTGGCTCAGGCGAGATCGGCACCCAGCCCACTAAGGCTGTGTCGGTTCTGCCCGCCATTGTCCGCGCTGAGGGTGCGAAGGGCAGCGGCAGCTCTGGCTCCAGCGGCTCCTCAGACTCGTCTTCCTCCACGTCTAGTGACAGTGGTAGCAGCCATACCGCTGTGATTGTCGGCGGTATTGTTGCCGGTGTTGCAGTCATTGGAGTTCTCGGCGCTATCATCGGCATCTGCATGTCGCGCAAGCGCCGCGCAGAAGCACGCGCTGTGGCCCATGAGAAGTACGGCGTGTCTCCGCCGCAACCTGCATTTGCCCAGGATGCCTTCGGCGGTGCACCACGACCCAGCGATGCTACCGCCTTTGAGCCATACGCCGCAAACGCCTACGGTTCGAGCGCGAAACTCGTAGACGGCGACGGTGTCCCGAACTACGACAACCACGCCGGCACCTCGCACGACCCATATTATGAGTCGAGGACGCCGACTACGGCGTCTCATCTTGCTCCGGGGCGGTACTAGTTAACCGCCCGTATCGTTGTGCCATTTACTTTGAATTGTTAGCATGGACGTTGGACCCCCGATCTCGTATCGCCTGCTTTGCCTGGTGTTGTCGCTCTTTTTGGAATCTCGCTACTTACACTCTCTTGATTGCACCTCTCTTTTGTACATTGGAATGGATGAAGAATATAAATCACATAAACACTGCCTACTAGTAACCTGCCGCGTTCTTGGAAATCCGGCCCTATCGTCATTTGAGTACATTCCTAGCAGGTGTTTGCTCGTGCAGGACTCACCGCCGCTTGCCCTGCATGAGTAGTGCAGTGCTGGACTAGACAGGACGGTCCATACTCCTGTCGCGTCAGTGGACATCTATAGGTCCCGGAGTTCGAAGTTTCGGATGAAAGGAGGGCAACGTGCCTCTCGCCGACGCGCGGCTCCCATCCGTTTCCGTTCCGGTCGGCTTTGATTTTGACATCCATCAACCTGTCGAGGAGACTTTCTTGGCCCAATTGTACAAGATCCCCTCACATAAGTATTCGCTGCTGCAAGCGTGCGTTATGCTCCACTACACGGCAAGTAAATACTGTATAGAGCTCCGCTCCCAATCAGCACCCATGATCTCGTATTGATACTCCTTGATTTCTTCCGCGTAACGACAGCGCTTGAAGCTTCCGTCGACAGCTAAATCCGAGGCCTCAGGAACGGACCTGCCTTTCATATTGTTTAGACTTCGTGACGTTCGGGGAGGGTCAGGCGTACGACAGAGTCGACTACGAAATGCAGCGAATTATCCGCAGACGGTTGCCATTGGAGGTGCGCCTTGATCAAGTGTCGCCCTAAAGTGGTATGAACGATGCCAAGTTTAGGCTATCTTCCCTCTTCTGGACAGCGGGACGCTCACGGATTGGCATCACCGCGTATCCTGTGTGATGCCGCGGCAAGTTTTGCCGGGAGCGGTGTAGTGTTTTCGTCAGGCGGGCTGTTGGCGCCTCTTAAGATAGCCTAAAGCGAGCGCGCGCGTGCCCTCCTCGCGTTCTCCCTTCCCGGCGCTCTATATCTACCTTCCACGCCACCACCAACTGAACGACATTCCTTTCTTTCTTTCCGGCGCTTTGTCATGGTGTCATTCTCTGCGAAGGCGCTTGTCGGCGCGGCTTTGCTCACGGCGCCTGCCGTCCAGGCAGACGACCTCGCCGGGCAGATTGTTGAAGTCGGAAATACCCTTGTGTCGGCCATGATGGTGCGTTGTACAGTTCTCCGTACCGGTTTCTGCTAACGTTGTACTGTAGATGTTCCTTGGAAAGACCAATAAGGTGTACATCCTGGACAAGATCGAGGGCAACGCCCAGCAGATCAATGGTCATTCACTCTACGCTTCAGTATGGTGCGTTGTCGGCCTAGAGTGGAATCGTACACAGCCTTGACAAGAAACCTCAGGGATCTTGACACCAAGCAAGCAACCCCAATGGATGTACAGACCAACCCCTTCTGCGCCAACGGCATGCATCTACCAAACGGCTCCTTCGTTGTCTTTGGCGGTAATAACGCGGTTGGACCCGGTGGCGACAATCACATCTCGGGTAGTACGAAACTCTACGATCCCACATATCAAGACAACAACGGCACCTATGCTATCCGTGTGCTTACGCCTTGCGATGGTGACGTCGACAGCGATCCTGAATGCGCTTGGGTCGACAGCCCCAACTCTGGTCTTCGAATGCAGTCGGGCCGCTGGTACCCTGGTGCGGAAGCGCTCGGTAACGGTTCGGTCATCATTATAGGTATGGCGACACCCGGTATCTGATAGGCCATCTGACTGACTGTACGTTGCGATTCGCAGGCGGTTTCAGCTCAGGTGGTTATATCAACAGGAATTACCCGAACAAAGATCCGCTGTACTCGGGCGGTGGTAGCAATCCCACCTATGAAATCTACCCGAACAACGGCGTAACAGAACGTGTCATGCAGTTTATGGGCACTACTTCCGGACTCAACTCGTACCCGCTCACGTACCTGCTGTCCTCGGGCAAGTTCTTTGTACAGGCCAATTACTCCACGAGTGCGTGTCGCTTATGCGTGTCACACTCTCTTAAACTCATGCACGTTGCTTAGTTCTCTGGGATGCCGACGCCAACGTCGAGACTCCACTGCCCGACATGCCAAACCAGATCGTTCGCGTCTACCCCGCGTCTGGTGCAAACGCAATGATGCCGTTGACTGTCGCAAACAACTACGAACAAACCGTCATCATGTGCGGTGGTTTCTTCATGCAAGATGACCAGTGGGGAGACTTCACGTATCCCTACATCAACCCGTGGGAGCAGGCGTCGAGCGCAGACTGCCAGCGTATCACGCCTGAGCCCGCCGACGGATCCGCGGCAGCGTACCAACAGGACGATGATATGCCCACCACGCGTACCATGGGTCAATTCATCTTGCTTCCCGACGGCAAGATGTTGGTGGTCAATGGCGGTCGTAATGGGACAGCGGGTTATGGCACAGCCACGAAGATCACGCCTCAGGCTCAAATGCCGTGGGGCGAATCGTATGCTGCCGAGCCTCAAGGGCAACCTGCCATCTACGACCCGACAGCTGCAGCCGGGTCGCGCTGGAGCACCGAGGGTCTCGCAACGTCGAATACCCCACGCTTGTACCACTCGTCGGCTATTCTGCTCCCTGATGGCTCCGTCATGATCGCAGGTTCGAACCCGAACATCGATGCGAACACAACCGCACCCTTCCCGACGACGTACACGGCCGAGTACTTCTACCCGCCATACTTCAACGCGTCAACCCGCCCGGTCCCCTCTGGCATCCCGGGCAACTTATCATACGGCGGTGATTACTTCGACATCACTGTGCCGTCGTCTTCCTATTCGGGAGACGCGAACGACGCCGCCAGCTCGACTATGATTTGGCTTTCGCGTCCAGGCTGGACAACACACGCTATGAACATGGGCCAGCGCATGCTGCAGCTGAACAATACTTTCTCCGTATCTTCCGACGGCACGATCACGTATCATGTTGCTCAGCCCCCGCCGAACCCCAATCTCTTCCAGCCTGGTCCGGCCTACGTGTGGGTGACTATCAACGGTGTTCCTTCGAATGGCACATATGTCATTGTCGGCTCGGGTGACTTTGGTACCCAGCCGACATCGGATGCATCTGTATTGCCTGCGAGCGTACGCGCCGAGGGCGCCTCTGGCTCTGGAGGCAACAGCTCGAGCAGCTCGGGGTCCGGATCCGGCTCCAATAACGATACGAGCGGCTCCTCTGCTCCGCGCTCCTTCACTACAACGACAGCAGGCCTAGTCCTCGTCATTGCCGGTGCTTTCATGCTCGTATAGACTGACATCCACGCGGACTACTTATTATATACGTGTTTGTCAATGCCTGCTAATACCACCTATCATTCGTTCACTGGACTTCTACAATACACATGCTGAGCGGACATTACATCATGAACATACAATGCACTCCTTCTCCACCAGATCATGGGCTCTACGTGTTCTGCGTTGCTGACTTGCTCGTCGTTGCAACCTTGTCAGCGTTGCGCGTGGACCTCCTGGTCGGCTCGCGGCCCTTCGGCGCCTGCGTACGCTTCCGCTTTGTACCAGCCACTACCTTCTCAACTGCCACTTGGAGACCCTCCATCTTGACTGCCTGACCGTCTGCCACTGCCAGAACCTGCACGGCCTTCACCGTCAGGGCCTTCGCTCCCTTCGTCTTCGAGCCCTTCGTCTTCGACGTCTTCGCACCCTTCTCCACCGGCTTCGCGCACTCCAAGTGCTCAGCATGCTTCTTGATGATATGCACACTTATCCTTTCCCACGGAATCTTGTCGCAAGTGCAGCCCTCCCAGCGACAACCTGGTATAAATCTAACGCCGGCCGGCAAGTCCTCCTCGCACCTGATCCCGTGTGCTGCTTTAAGGTGTTTCTCGAACGCGTATGCGTCTACGTCGGGCATCTCTGTTCTGCACTCTTCCCAACGGCAGCAGAAAACAACCCCCTCCGAGTACGCCGTGGATGATGTCGAGGGCGCGGGCGATGCGCTGGGCGAAGGTGCTTGAATGCGTACATCCAGGCTGACAGTAGTCGTTACGGTCAATACGGCTTTGACTTGGATTGAAATCAATGAATGCGCGCTCAAATTGGTTGGTCGACATACTGCTTTCATCATTACTCTCTTCAACGCAATCCAGCCTACGGCGCTTCGGCGGAGGCTCGTCGCACGCGGCGTCGGCTTCGAGTGCGGCGTCGCTCGTCCTTTCAGCCAAAGACATCCTGGAACGAAGACGAGGAGGGATGTAGCGACTGTAGTCTGACATGGCGGAAGTGTAGAGTAAGGATCTCTCTAGCTTTCCAAGCAGGTATATATACTTCCGCCCGGTAGCCAGTCCACAGATCTGCGTAGAAAGGCGCTCAACCACGGGCTTTGAAGGGGAGATATGATCTAAGCATGTAGCCATCAGGGCCCGGCAAACCTTTGCTATTGTTCTCGAAGAAGCATAATGGGCGAACAGTGGGTCCAAGGGCTTCTGAACACGCATTGAACCGCAGTGTGGTTTGAAGTTGTAGGCGGACCCTGTGATGTGACTGGGCAGTCGAAGCTTGGATCCTTCTCGTAGCAACACAAATCCCACCCTCTTTCTATTGAGGCGTATCTCAGAGGTGATATTCACATGCGTATGTACTGATGGAGTCTTAGTGGATGTCCGACGGGATGCTTTAGTACTCATTGACTATCTACTGGACCGCCTCTAAGTAGGAGTTCGGCCGACTTGCTAGCAATCCGCGTACACACCCAAGGAATGCTCTCATGCTTGCATAAGTGCTTGTATCTAAGCCCTTTACGAGTCTTACGAGGAAGCACAGAGCGATAGCGCGGCCCAGCGCGGCCAAAAACCTTGATACGAAGCCAAAGAACGCGTGACGTCACGCGTTCGTCTACACCAGCCTGAAGCGGACGACTGGGACTGACTGACAGTCGAACATCTACACGAAGATAAGCCGGATTGTAAGCGTCGCACATATGTGACAATGCGCTCTTCAGCCTAGTGCAGTGTACCGTTCTTTCCGCGCACCGTTGTCTATCCGGGGGCGGCGAGGGATAGTTTCGATCCCGGCAGCGACCAACCACCTATCGCGCTGCGTGCTTCAGATACCACCTTCAAGACCTCTTTGTTAGGAAGCTCTGCATACTTATATGAAGGAGTCTGCCTCTCCATCATCGCGGTCTGGTAGGTGACAGGACATCGTCTTTAGTCTGTGCTACGGTGTCTGGCCGTTTTGCCTACTTGGACTCGGAATAGAGCATGTGTCGGCTCGTAGAAGCGTTGAAGATACAAACGACTCGGCTCTACCATTGAGCGTAGGACAGTAGCCAGTGAGAAGTCACACTTCAAGGAACAGTACTTACTAGAAAAGTACAAGGGCGTCCCTAACAATTATGTCTGCGACACAGCGAAGTAAGTAGTACATTGAAAGAACAGATGTTAGTACAAGCAACAAATGCGGCCCACGCAAGACCTAAACCCAATAATCAACCCTCTTTCCTCCACCTATACATAACTTCTACGTCTCGACAGCCCGAGCTTACTTCGGCGGTGCGATCTTCCCGCACTCCTTGCAAGTCCTGCGCTCCGGGTCTGTCTGCCAGCGTTGGATGAGCGGCTTGAGCTGTGTTCCAAGATCGGTAACATGGAAGTCGTCCTGGTGGATGATGGTCGGCTTGTCGTGAACCGGCTCACGGCAGTACCAGCGGAGGTGGTCTTGCGCCAGACGTCAACGCCGGCCCTTCGATGAGATATCTGATACACACCTGTCGAGTCTTCTGGACGTACGCGCTCGATGACAATGCCGACGGTGTCGGCGAAGCGAACCGGATTGTGCGGAACATTTCCTGAACAAGGCATAAGTGTTTCCTCTGCGGGATCCCGCGAATGATACGCACCAGGCAGGAGGAACATCTCTCCCTCCTTAATAGGAATGTCGCGGAACTCTCCATCATCAACAACGCGGAGCAGCATGTCGCCCTTGTGCTGGTAGAACCACTCCTATAGCGCGCACACGACCCCGGTGAGTATTCACATCTACCCACAGCGCTCTACTGCGCACCTCCGTCTCGTTGATGTGGTAGTCATTTCGCTCATTCGGCCCTCCGACAGCCATTACGATATGATCCTTCCCCGAATACACACAGTAGTTGCCAACCGGCGGACGGAGGAGGTGCGAATTCTCCGAGAGCCAAAGCGGGAAGTTGAGGGGCGGTGCGAGCGGCATTATGATCAATACAGCCGGTTCTATGAGTTGGAAGGGGCCTGCGAGGTGGCGGTAGGACGCTGAGTGAGATAAGCTGCCGATGCTGTATTATATCGCGCTGCGTCGGCACTCGGGAGATGTCAAAGAAAGATCGAAGTCTGGGTGTGGCCGAGATGACTGAGCAATGACACGTGGGAGATAGGGGCGTCGGCGCTAAACACGGTGTCAGATTAGATCTGCCTACACTACATTCGGCGCGAACTGGAGCTTTGCGATAAGCACAACAGAGATGCGGGTACGAAGTGACAGAGCGCGCAATATGATAGCAGAGTATGGTAGATACGATGCTAGGGAGATGACAAGTACGCATGCAGAGATAGTCAGGAGGCAGGCTAGAACTCGTCAATGTCATCGTCCTCAAGCATCGTCCCCTGAACCTCCTCGTCCCCCCATATATCTCTCCTATTCACGACCCTGTCGTCCTCACCCATATCATCCACGTCTCTTCCTGTTTCGCGCTCGTTTGCTTCTTCAGCTCCCTCATCTCCTTCGCTGAACACAAGTTCTGAGAACAGCCGATGATCTTTCGGCGGGCGCAGTCTACCGCTCGCTCGCAGAACAGCGCCCAACTCGAGCGCTACAGTTGTACGAGTCCATGGAGATGCGGCGGTGGGAGATCCGTCCGCCAGCCATGTTCGCACGCGCTCCACGGCGGCTACAGCTTCGTGTTCACGCTTTCCACTACCGAAAAATGCGGGTTTGCAGAACTTCTGGCCTGTTCGCGGAACGGGACATGGTAAAGCGTGCAGTGTACCCAGTGCGTTTAGGTGGAACGAATACGGGTTCTGTTCGTACCACTGCAGATAGAATGAGCACCAGAACGACCTGATTGGGGCGGGAAGCCTACATTGTCTCCGCCATTCGAATCTAGCCAACTCAAATTGTCGACGAGCGCATCACACTGATCGAGTTCAGAGCAGAACGCCGTGTAGTTCTGATGTACGTATAATCCAAACAGCGACGCATCGATGGGTGTGCTGGCATACAAGTCCTAGATGGCTTCATCAGCCGAAGTCAACCACCGTATGTGTTCAACTCACGTCCACGTCCACCCGACTAGTCTTACGCGCCTCCTTTGAGAGCCAATCCGGCAGGCACGGCTCGTCTGATAGACGAGCATCCAGCTCGCGCAAAGCAGCGATGTCACGCTTCGTGGCTGCAGTTGGTGGAGGATCGCCCTTGCCTAATGGGATCATCAGCGACGAGCGGGTGTACTGAGCGCATATGGTACACACGCTTATTGTACAAAACCTTGCCTAGGAGATGGAACAGGACCAACGCGTTCTCTCTCCGCGTGGTCGACTCAATATCTGTGCCAGCGCCAGCATCCCTCGCTCGTTTCCCAGACCCCTTGGCCCTATGACACGCAAACTCCAATGCCATAACCCCCGCTCTGACATCTCCTGCAGCACCCGTGACAATATTCGCCAGTGCAGTATCGGTCACAAGCTTCTGCGCGCCAGCCTTCTCTCGTATCTTCTTCAACGCCGCAGTCAAGTATGTCGGAGCAACGGGGTTGAACCCGACCTCTGTGACGTGTGCAGCGCCGAGCCCAGGCGGGATAATAGTGCGCGAGCTCACGGCATCGTCGGCTGTGTTTCGTGTCCAGCGTGAGGAGGATGAGCCGGGTTCTTCTGCTTCACCGCGAACGCCTGCATCGCTGACTATCACAACGACGGGTACGGAGGAGCTCATAGCATGCCGTTGTATCGCCGTGTGGAAGCGAGCACGAGTCGAGGGATGCAGGATATTGGGCAGATCTTCGAGAAGGACGACCGAGCGATCCGCGGTAGAGCTCCCCTGACTTGATGCGCTTTTGGTTGCGGAAGATTTGGGTCCGCTGGGAGTGAGCTGCGACGAGAACAAGGATGTATAGTGCCCCGCGCGTCCAAGAAAGGCCTCGAATTTGTCCATAGCGCTCTCATAGACGTCTTCGAAGTCCAGCTCGTCGAAATTCGTAGACCCAGCGGATCCCGGTACCCATTCGTTGATGGCAAAGCCCATCTCACGGGCGAGAACCTGCAACGTCGCAGTCTTGGCCGAGCCGGCAGGACCAGAAAGAACCAAGAACCGCTATAGCGAGAGAAGCGTGAGTATACGCTATGCAATAACCTCTCAGCGTAAAGTTGAGCATACCCGGTACTTCGCGATAGGTTGCTCTGAGAAGGCCTCCCCCAACCACCGCCTAACGTCTTCGACCTTCCGCTTGTGCACCGCAAGATCAGCCTGGACATCTGAATTAGCATCTGCATGAGCAGCTACAACGTTGAGAGCACACCTCAATAGTCGGCGCAAACTTCTCGACCCATAATCGGTCATCTTGTTCTCGAACAGCTGGAACAACCTTCAGATCATGTGCGCGCCACAGCGACCTGAGACCATACCTGGCGCTTGTTTCAGTGCCTTCTCCTTCCCTTTCGCCTTGGAAGCGGGTTTGGCGGGATCCTCGTCCATAGTAAGGTCGATGAAGTTGTCGGAATTGCTAACGCGGAGCCCGGGTGCACGCTGAGACGCGCTGCTTGTTGGTGTAGACCTTGGCGATTGACTGGAAGGTTTGGACTGGGAGCTTCCAAGGTTGAATGTTGGCGGTTTCGTGACCTATATTCATAGTCAGGGTGTATATCATGACATAGTATCGCCACTACACACCGAAGCAAGCCTGGGCTTCTTCGCCGGCGGAGGCGCGTCGTCCAGCGTGAGAGTGCTCCTGTTGCGCTCGACAGGCTTTGTTTTCGTTTTTGGCGCCATTCCACTCCGCCTCTATGAGATGAGATGGTGACGGTAGGATAGGTTTACGAGGAGAGAATATAGTCTGGGTGCTAGGTCTGATGATGATGGACGCGTTGGTTGAGTCGCGTCTACCTGCATCGCGCTGATCTGAACCACGACGCGTCGCGACGCGTTCAGTTCTTTCCCGCGCAAGTGCATACAACCACAGACGCCTTGAGGTATTCTCCCAAGGCGTCCGGTGACCTTTCTGTCTCATATTTCTGGGCCCAATCAAACATAAGCGTGTTCACGGAAGGGAATCTCTAGGCTACAGAAGGATGTGGATGTGATAGTAAACAATGGATGATGATCGCGGACATTAGCAGGCGGTCGGGTGGATGCTGGGTACAACATGGGGGAAGAGCGCTAATAGGCAACCAAAGGAGCACATATGGAGAGAGATAGAAGAGAGAGATGGGGCGTTGATCCGGATGTATAAGATAAAGTAAACGTAGGATAAGCGGTCTGACGAAACTCCTACTTCGCAAACTTCTACTTCTGCGGGATAGGAACGCCTGGCTTGGGAATGCCCATCCCTCGCGCGCAGATGGTGCTCCGAACGCGCTGACAAAGACGGAGACCGCCAGAAAGTACAGACTGCCCATCTGTTCTCCCGGCGTCGGGGAGGATGTTCTCACTCCCGCGACGCGAACGTGAAGAGGTAGTTTTGACGTGTCTTGGGGCTCTTCTGAACCGTTTTCTGCGCCATCGGTGCCATGGACGCGGGAAGTACGTCTTTGCATGGCGAAATAGCCACACGGGAGATAGGTGTCGGTGGAAGGGGCCTCCACGTACTAGGAGCGTCATTCCATGTCTGCCCAGGGTTGCGCGGCCCGCGCGGCCTGGCTGTGCACGGCCCGGTCTTCAACTTCTCCGACGTAACGATCTGAGTAGCGGCGGAGGTAGGATTGGGATCGTGCGCAGGGACAGTCAAATAAGGACGCATTTCTCCGTTCGCGCCCGATTGGAAGAAGGCTGCCAGATACGTGAGCCGATAAGCAAGGATCTCGGTGAGTTCACACTTACTGATATTATTGTACACGGCCACAGGCGCAAGTATTTTGATGTCGAGCTCAAATGCCCGACTGTCGGTTGCATCGTCGTCCACGGCGTCCGAGGGTGGGGACGGCAGAGGGTGACCGGCGTTAACAGGGTTCTGGGAGAACACCACATACCCGCGGTCGACCGACAGGGGTATGTGTGCAGCCATCTGCGTCGAATCTACAGGAATGTAGTTGGGCTCGCCGTGAATGAAGTCGTTGATGAGCGACAACCGCTCAGCGGACTCGGGAAGTCTGCACCCAGTTGTGTTAGCCGTCTGCGGCGACCCCAGAAAGCGATTATGTATACACGTACCGGTCAGAGAAATCAGCACGAGATGACATGATGCGACAGTGAGCGATGTGTCAGTTAAGTGTAGCCGAAGGCTAAGTGCTAGTTATATACACGAAGGATAGTGGGTGGGGTTGATGAACCACTCCCGCTAAGATGCGCTATCGTCAACGGCGTGCCCTAGTAACCAACCATTCACATGCATACCCCATTGTCCAGCCACACCTTCTTCGACGTGGAAGTTGTAGAGTCCAACCACTTCCGATACCGTGTGTGGAAGTGAAGTGCTAGCCGACGCCTTTCGGGATCGACTCATGCCTCATAGTAAGCGCAGGCTTCTCCTCATACATACTCGCGAACTGTAGAAGAACTCAATGGATAGCAAATATATAAGCTGATTAGAGATGAAGTCGCGGGCCGCTGTGGGCCGTGTGCAAGAAGGTATGGGCCAAAACACGCGCAGGCAGCGAGCAGCGACAGTACGGTTATGTGTGAGTTCCAAAGAGAACAACCGCAGACGGGAACGGCCGCCGACTTCTATCATCGTAACCACTGTATGCAGAGTGTGGAGATACGAAAGAATTCGCAGAGGAAAGAAGCATTAGGTTGCCAGGTCTGATGGTGATGGGCGTATCGGAAGAATTGCGTCTGCATCGCGCTGATCTGAACCACGACGCGCTCAGTTTTTCCCGCGCTCGAGTGCACACAACCATAGGTACCTTGAAACTCAAGATCCTTGCAAGACGTCGCATTGACCTGCCGGATCTCAGATCTTCAAACTCAAGTAAACAGAAGCGTGATCAAGATATGGAGTCTCTAAGCTACAGAAGGGTGTGGATGTGATTGGAACCAATGGATGGTCGTGGACGGCCAGTTGTGGGTAGGATGTGTACAGTACGAGAGAAAGACGTTGATGGGAAGTGTAGAGAAGACGATACTGAGCGGGATGATAGGAGCCGAACCGGATGTGAAAGACGGCACAAGCAAAACAAGAAGTTATTTGTTGAGACACCTACTTATTTCAACGTAAACTTCTGCTTCTGCGGGATAGGAACATGGATCGGGGGACCGGAGAAGTGAACATTATCACGCGTGAGCATATAGAACGAGAGTTGAATGATAAGAAGTGGCGTAAGGGCTACATATGTTAGAATGCCAACATCGGTCTACATTCAAGGGCCCGTGCACAGTTCGGCTCCGACGGTGCCCATGTATACCCCATTGTATGGACCGTCGTGGTCATCCTGGAAAGCGTGTCAACCTAAACGACACAGGTTGCGTCACATTGTAACTCGCCTCATCGCCTGTGAAGATACTTGATACGTCCCCAGTTGTACACAGGGCCGACTCGTTGTCTTGCCCTACGTGCACAGTGAATGAGATACGACCAACATACCCACGGATCAAAGCACTCACCAGGACACGAATCCCAAGCACCGGAGTCCTGAATGTGGATCTCCCCCGAAGGATGATGATATCCAAGGAACATACCAGGGACGATGGGAACATCATCTTCCTGCATGCAATCCAGGCAATGAGAAGTAGCCGGGGTATCTAGAGTGGTACTGCGAACCTTGTTGTTGATATGAGTGACGTCTATGTTTGCATCCAGGTAATCGGCGAAGGCCTGGTTCCCGACCTAGAGAGACTCGGTCAACAGCCACAAGCAAACTCGATTCGGAATCCTCACTCGGGGAAGACCATAACCGATGTACTTGATGGTAGCATCCGAACCCAAGTTTAGGGTTAGGAAGACGGAGTCGATGAGTGAAATTGCAGCACCTGCAGGAGCGTGTGAGCAGAGTTTTCCGAGAACAATGACATGCAATCGCACCGAGAGAATGTCCGACCACAGTTACAGAACTGGTAGCATGCGCAGACATTGAGGCCTTCACTGCGGCCAGTACACTGGATGCGGTCCTATGACGAGGTCAGGTATCACAAGCGGAGTTCATGTGTGCATACATACTTCTTCTGCTCATTCCTAAAACCTTCGTGCACAGTAATGGAAGACGAGATGCCAGGGAAAAGGGTAGAGTCCAGCTTTCCTCGGATGATGTTCACGTCGGTCAAATCGGCCTTAAGTTCGTCCGGATCGGTTCCTTGGTGCGCGACGATGACCTCCTTGAGGGACGGGTCGTATCCAACATACCCTGGAAAACTTGTTAGTCCACGTAGTCAGGGTAAGATACACAGTCGTACAGAATTGAGTACCGTCTCCGTCTCCGCCGGAAGCCTGGACTACGAAGCCTGAGTTTGCCTCGCAAAGCGCTGGGGATATGACTTAAGACGTGCCTGCACAAGGCAAAAAATGTGGGAATACATACATCCACAACCCCAATCCGCCGTCTGAGCCGCTGTGCAGTACGCCGCGGCGGCAAAGTTCGAGTACGGCGTGAAAGTATCGATTTGTGCCGAAGATAAGGTCGTGATTGACTGACGCTTGGCCGGAATGGAGACAGCGAGCGCGTGCGGGATGAGCGCAACGACAAGCGCAACGAGGACGACCATGACGCCCGGGTCGTGAGCACCACCAAGAGTCGGGAGGAATACCAGACCAGAAAGCCCGTAGAGTAATGGCCGACCAGACGGGCTTTATATATTCGCGATGAGCGCTCATCTCGAGGCTCGGTGCCGTGCCTAGGACAAGACCAGCGAGAAGCTCCGCAGTCGGATAGATTACGGGACACACTCTCGCACTGAGCGGAGGCATTGAGCGTGACCTGCGGGTTTACGTTAGCCACCTGAATGCAGAGAAGAAACCGCGCGGTTCTGACGGTACTGTGATTCGGATAGCTCGCTGGTGGTGCTAGTCGACTGCTCCCTAAGTACGATCACGGCCCGGATGTTCTATAGTAGGTTGACATGTAGCGAACGTGCGCAAAACGAGTAGCACCGTACGGCACTAAGGCACGCGGTGAGAGAGTACGAAGATGGTTCAGGCGTGAGGAGGGCTCAAAGCGGAGGATGAGCGATCGAAGCGCCCGCTGCATCTAGCAGAACAAAGACAGCTCGGTATACACCCAGTTGCGAATGTCCGGCTCGCATCGATACATTCATGAGGTGCGCACCTGTGACGGAGATGCTCTTTGTGCTGGTAGAGGATAAAGAGTCGTATGGGTTGTCCGAGGGGAACGACGGCTGAGAGTGGGCTGGAGTGGGACACAAGAATCCGATGGAGACGACTCTGAAATCCACGGCTCGCGGCCTTCGGACTCATACATCACATAGACGAAAAGACGCGAGCATGTTAGTGTGCTTGATCGTACACTTGCATGACGACCAGTATCGATGGACTGTTCCTTTACAGCAGATGGCAGCTAGAGCCAAGGACCATCAACAGACGCCGCTCGGTGACTAGGAGGCCATCAGTGACGTCAATCAGCCACGGACAGCTACGGACCCATACATTTCCACAACGACTTAAAATCTAAGTATATAACTACGGTCCTGAAGTTATCCAGATATGGTATCGATGGCATTATGACCTCTACTACTTGTGGTCCTATGTTACAAAGCGTATCTTCGTAGTTCAGCCCGGCAAACCCGGTGTGCTTTGTTGATGTCCGGCAAGGCAGGTATGCGGACAGAGTGCTTGTCCTCTCATGTCGGGCTATACGGGCCGGTTTCAAGACTGATGAGGACGATGGGCTTGCGAGTGCCCCTCCCGAGACGCCTGTGGTGCTTGAAGGCGCTGATAGAGACGACGACCGACTGCAGATACAGGTTGCTCATCCGTGCTTGTAGCGTCGACTCTGTCGAAAAGGGCGCTCGCAGCGTTGGGAAGGGCGCTGTCATTCTTCCAGTCAGAGCGCGAGGAAGTAGACCCGAAGTGGCCAGCAGCGGCCGGTTCGGTCTGCGCAGGAGCGCGGCTCTTCTGGGCGGTTTTTCTCTCCGCCGACGCCGCGCTCGATGGAAGCGCGTTCTTGCGTGGTGATAGAGCCACACGAGGGCCGGGCGCGGGAAGAAGCTGCATAGGCGCGCTCGCGACATCGCGAGCGAGACCAGCAGGACTCAGGAGCGTCATTCGTGTCTTCTGCGCGGGTTTGCGCGATCCGCACGGCCTGGTTGTGGGCGACTTAGCCTTGGGCTTTGCCGACGTCGCGAGCCGAGTGGCGGTGGTAGCCGCGGGCATCGAATCGGCGTCGCCCGCAGGGATTCTCATAAGAAAACGTCGATTTTCTTCGTTTGCACCCGGTTTGACGAAGCCTGTTGGGTACGTGAGTCAATCAGCAAGTAACTTTGTGAAACCCACACTTACGAATATTGTTATACAGAGCCAGAGGCGCAACAATCTTGATTTTGGGCTCAGCCGCCGCCGTCGACGACGCGACCGAAAGCAAGGCATCTGAGGGCGGGGACGGCAGAGGGCGACCGCCGGATACAGGACTCTCGGGGACAATGATGCACTCACGGCCAAATGACAGGGGTGCATATGCAGTCACCCACGTCGGGTATCTAGGAAAGTAGTCGGGCTCGCCGTGATCGAAGTCGTCAACGAGCGACGACCGTTCGGCGAACACGGGAAACCTACAACACAATGCGTCAGCCGTCTGCGGCAACCTAAGAATTGAGAAACCATGTACCCAATAGGCAGAGCAACGCGCGACGCCATGGGTTGGTACATCACGAAGTGAGAGTGTAGTAAGAACGCAAGTGTTGCGATGCTGATTATATAGACGGACGCTATCGGCCCGAGTTGATGGGCCACATCGCTTGGTTGTGTTGAGGTCGACGTCGTGCCCTGACGACTAACCACCCACATAAGTACTCCATTGTCCAGCCACGCCTCTTTCGACGTGTGATTTTTACAGTCCAACCACGTTCTGAGGGTGCCAGCCGACCCTCTTTCGGGAATCATCCCACACTTCAGCGCAAACGCCTGCCCGCCAGGCCACCTCAGTGACTGCTTGGGCGAGTAGCTGAACGCACAGCAAAGATATAACCTGAGACAAGTAGGGATTGTGAACGAGTATAGACCTAGGATAAGAACATCATAGACCAGAACACGCGCAGGCAGCGAGCAGCAACAGTATGGTTATGTGAGTTCCAAAGAGAACAACCACCGAAGGAAACGCCGGCCGACTGCTCCCATCATAACCACTGCGTACAGATTTTCACACGACCCTGTGCAGCAAACGGTTCGTTGAGGCAGTCGTCGTCGTCGTCGTCGTCGTCGAAAGTCCAAAAGAGTTCAACTCGCAAGCTCGCGCGTCTCCTTCCCGCGCCCGCACCGCCCCGATGCGATCAATCGAGGTAATTGTGCTGACAAGAACAACATTGATATTGCTACATGAACTAAGGGTACTATAAGCACGCGATATATCTAAGCTAAAGTGTAGGACGACGATGATTAAACGCGAGACGCGGAAAACAATATTGAACAAGAATATATAACCATGTAGCAGCTTCCTTTCGGAGGGAGGAGAGCGCTTAATCCAACACGATGACAGCATCGTCGTCGTCGACCTTCTCATTCTGCTCTTCTAGCAACACGAGCCCGTCTTCTTCCAACAGACGCCGCTTGCTCGGTGTGGCGGGTCCGGATGGTAAACCACGCGCGACCTTCTTCGCTGGCTGGCTCGACTCGATATCATCATCATCAGGAGCTCCCCGCTTGCCGAGTGATGCAGCGGGCGACGCTTCTGGTTTTGGCGCGGGCTTCGCCGGGCGCTTGGCCGGTGTGGGCATCGGCGAGGGTAGGATCATCGGTGGTGCGTCCGCGGGGTGGTCAGACCTGTACAGAGCTTTAACATGCGTACTTCATGCGAGAATGAGAAGAAAACAACGCACAGTAACATCGCAATACCTAGCGATATGGGCTGATACACGCCGTCCTCATCCTGGATGGTAAGGAACTTCCCACGCGTGACGCCCAAACTCTCGAGCGTCCTCCCGAGGTTATCATCGAAGTCAGGGTCGCTGAGTAACCTCTGCGCCTCATAAGTGCTGACTTCCGGCGCCTCCATGCTGACGTCGCCGTCACCGTCACATGCGGTACCCCACCGGATACCCGCAGTAACAGCTTCTACGACCTGGCCGAGCGTGACGCGCGCGGGGTCACATCGTAAGAGGCCGTACGCGTCGCGACATACACCGCAAGTGGGGATAGGCGGGGCCTTGACACCAGGGGTGAGAGGTTTTGTGGGCTTGAAGAGGATGTGGACATCCTTGAGCGCGTTGTAGGACTTGCGCAAGACGTGTAGTGCTTGTAAGACGATCAAACCCGACACGATCGCATTGGTTGTCGCAATCGCGGGGATAATGTTTCCCGCCATCTCTGCGCCCAAATTAGATGTCACGATACGTATATAGAAGAACGGGACGCGAACCTTTGACCTCCCATCGACTCTTGCCGGGGATACCGTAAGCCGCAGACCTCAGGTTCGCTGCAGAGGTGACAAAGTCTAGCGTGTCGTCATCGTCCTTATCGAAAGAGATGGTCTCCTCGCCAGCCTGAACCCGCGCAGCAAGTTTCTGTGTGCTCGCTACAAACATCTCCCAGCTATCCCGCAGGGACAATGCGCGCTGATCCTTCAGCTTAGCGCTCGCGCTAGTCGAAGCTCCATTAGAAGTTCCATTCGTAGCAGTGCTAGTGCCATTCGTGTTCGCGGACGTCGCGCCGTTAACCGCAAGCGCAACCTTGCTAGCCTTCTGGCCCCGTAGCTCGAAGCGGTCGTCCCGGATCGCGTAGAAGTCCAGAGGCGTGGGCTTCGCGCGATGTTTCCACATATCCTCCATTGACAAAAGGTTGCGAATGTCTCTGTCGAAGACCTTCTCAAAAACGAGCTTCGGCGCCTCCGAAGCGCGGTCTGCTGAGCGCAACGCGGCACGCACGGCCTTGAATGCGAGAGCTTCTCTCTTCAGGGCATCGATCTCCTGTGCTGAAAGAAGGTGTAAGGCTGGACTCCCGCTTCAACAAAGACCCATACATACCGTTTTCACCTGCTTTGAGCGCATCGTCGAGATCATCCGTCGCGTTCTCATCTTCGCCGAACAGCTGACTGAGTATAAGGTTTCAGTCTGCCGCTTAGCACGCTGAGCTGTCAAACCTACGGCAGAAGATAGCTCTTCCCCCATACGATGCAGTGTATGGGCTGCGAGGGCGTCGAGCGGATCGTGCATATTGGGAAAGTCTTGGGCGTGGGTTTCTGTACGCAATCGAAGCATTCTGTGCGATCCTAGATGTCATTCAGTGTAAGCGCCCCGCAGTCGGGCATGGCATGATGCATACCTTGATGATGGGTTGAACTTGACCCAGATAGCCAGCAGTGCCGGACTCGACGAGCGGGATGTTGGCGGCCATGCACATCTTGTTGACGTGCCTCCGCGCATCTGCGCCACAAGTGGAGACGCGTCAATTCCATATCTAGACGCGCGTGGGACCCCGTGTACGTACCGAGGTTGTCCAGCGCGTTGAGTACAATATCGAAGTTGGAGAACCATGCAAGATCATAATGGGGGTCTTTTATGTTCCCGTGCACAGGAATGATGTTGACGTGCGGGTTGAAAGCCGCAGCGGTGCGCGCGGCCACCTGTGCGCGTAAAATGTCTCAGTCACGTCGCGACGCGTCAAGCAGAGTAAACGCGTACCTGCGCCTTGCTTTGCTTCACGTCCTTCTTCCGGAACAAGAATTGCCTGTTCAGGTTCGACAAGTCGATTGTGTCCAAGTCCAAGAGGGTGATATTTCCGAAGCCGGCGAGGACGATGTTCTTCACTGCGTCATTGTCAGCCACATATTTCGAAAAAGCGTGCATTTATCGGTCGAGTACGCGTCAACTGGACTGCACTTACGCAGTTCGCATCCAATGCCGCCCGCACCGACGAGCAAGACCTTCAACGTAGGCAACTTCTCGTGCAGCTCCGGGCCGAGGATGGCGCGCGCGTGGGCATAGCGTCCGTCTGCACTCAAGGCGTGCATCGTTCAGCGTACGAATATGTTCAAGGTAGAACAAGCAGATGCCGAGGGCGACTGAGACGTCGCGGTCAGTGGCCGAGGTGATGGTAGGGAAGGAAGGACTGTAAACGGCAGACGTTCGGCCCACTCGCACCGGTGTCCGGCCTCCGTTCCGCGTTCTCCGTGCAACACGGTCACGCGAGTGACGTTCGCGCCGGCGCCGCTATTCGGTACGGAAGCTAGTCGGAAGACCGTATGTGTATGATGCAATGCAACTGTATACTGCAGGCAGTGCTAGCATGAGTGTTGGACTCGAACGAGGTAGATACTCTCACGAGAAGTTGGCGGAAGCAGTAGGAAAATTAAAAGGACTACTCAAACGGCGACATCCTGACGCTAAACGTTGCTTTCAGGTCGATTATTATCATGCAGAGTTCGTTACTAGTATTGCTACACGAGGTCTATCATAACGAGAACGTGATAAAAGTCCTGTCCAAGGTCGTCGTAGGACGACTCGCGCCACACAAGGTTCGTACGTTAAGGCTCGCAAGCGACCCAGCGCCATTGAACCCCCTTCCCATTGTTACTCGTCCAAACGGCGTTGACATGGGCGGCAACGTGTCCTGGGAGGTCCTCCACAGGGAGTATAGCGCGGCACCTAGACCATGAGCATGTGGCCGTCGGGTCGGCTTGTGGAGGTACAGACGCTCCTGGCGCATGGTTGTGGCGGATGAAAACGGGGTTGAGAGCGTCGATGAGCTCAACTTGAGCAGGCCAAGGAGCGGGTTGACTCTGGGGCATTGCGGCTGCGAGGTTGTGGAACGTGTCGAGGTGCTCCTTCATAGTGCGCTCGTTCATACCATGAGTGAACCGGACACCACATGCAGATCCAAACTGGCACTGCACACAAGGCGCGATCGGACGCTGAGGCAATAGCTGAGGCACACGAACGGGGAATGTGGGGGGCTCGAGCGTGTCATCCTCCAGCATGTCCACATCGTCGTCAGATTCGTACTTAATGGATGGGGGAGACACCGTGAGCGGTGTGAAAGAGTCGAGTACCAGAGTGGTAGTGCTGGATGACGGCGTAGAGAGCAACGATCCTGGGGGCGCCTGACCGATTGCCTTGCGGCGCGACCGGGATACCGGGTGCAACTTGAGCTTGTGCGGCGAATCATCGCCCTGAGCTGACTTGGTCCAAGAAGGGGCTTTGCGCGCGTTCTTTTCGTCTTCCAGCTGAGCTTCAGCACGAGCAATTTCACCCCTGACGGTATGGTCAGTACACGCTCGGCATGCCATTCGATACGGGATACGTACAGCTCCTGGCGGGCAATGAAAATGAGGCGATCGAGTTTGGTAGACATGGCGAATGAGAGTGTTCTTAAAACGTCAACGTAGGATGCGAGAGATGCAGTAGCTTGGGGTCACATCTTCGCCTTTATAGTAATGAGAGGGAACGAAGACCACGTCTCGCAATGGCCAAGATTGACACGACGAACGAACTGAAACGCACAAACAATACCGGATAGCCGTGGTACGGACAATGCACCACCACGAACGACGGCGTGTGGCGTACAGCGGAAGTATACGGGGCCACAGTCAAGAAGGAGCGCCGATAGACCACGGCGACGCCCATCACAATGGTCAGAGTCCAACGCTTATACCGGCCATTGGTCAACCCGACTGGCGCCTTGTCTTTCAGAGCGATGTTCATCACGATACCATGTCCATCGTCACTTGTGCATCAAAGCAACATGCCGCCCATGAATTCCTGACAATACAGACATACATATCCACGGTCCAAAGCCCGAACATGATCAGAATAACCCAACAAGATCCGCGAACGGATCCTTCTTGCCACCCTGCGCCGGCGACGTCGCCGCTGCCGCCGCGGGTGCAGGCGATTGCGAGGATTGCGGTTGCAACGGTGCAAACGACTGTTGCGGCTGCGCGCCGCCGAATGGCGAAGAGGCTTGCTGAGGTGGCGACATGCCACCCCAGGTTGGTGCATGCGTTGGGGGAGACGCGACGCGTGAGCTGGCGCCACCGCTGGGAGTACCAGGTAGCATGATGCTGCCGAACTGGGCTGATTGTGGTCGCGAGCCCGGTGTGCCCACGGGAGACGCAGCAGCCTGGACGCCGCCAGGGAAACCTGGCCGAGGCTGAGCGTACGTCGTCTGTGGTTGTTGTTGGATTCCATAGCCCGGAGGCTGAGCGCCGTAATTGTACGAAGGGTGCGCCTGCTGGTTGAACCCTGCGAGTAGGTTCGGTGGCATGGATTGTGCAGCGGGCGCTGGTGCGGGAGCTGATGATGTGGACGAAGGCCCGAACAGTGCCATAAGATCGTCTGTGGTCGATCCGCCCGCGCCCGCAGCTTGAGCCGCAGCCGCATCGGACTCGTCAAAGTCGATGAGATTCAACCCGGCGCTCGAGCTCGACCCGGCAGCGTACTCCGCCGGTATAGGGTTCTTCGCGGTGACGTAGTCGCCCTTCTTGAACGCCTCATATCGGTCGATGACAGTGTTGATTTGGTCGTTGATCTGCAGATATGTGTCTATGGGCGGGGTGAGGTTGCGGGACATGAATGATAGGACTAGAATCTTACCTAGCGATTCAGAGTCCTCCGACTCCGCGTCTGATATCCACTTCTGGATCTTCGGCCGAGATGCGATAAGGATTGCGGATACTTGCTGCCCCGCTGTGAGTGAACGCCTTCCAAAGCACTGCTGTATTCACGCACGTCGTACACATCTCCAGGTGCGAACTTCTCCCCGCGCTCCGTGTCCACGTTATCCAACATCTCATTCAACAGCACGACCTTTTGCTCGAGCTTGTTCAGCTCGTTCAGCACCTGCGTGCGGTAGTCCGGCTTCGCGTCTGGATTGGCACCCGCGAGTGACTTCATGAGCTCTTGCGCTGCAGCAAGATCGCGCGGTGTTCCTCTCCGGATCAGCTCTTGCAGTTTCGCCGATTGCGCTTCGCGATCCTCGTTCTCAAGCTCTTCGGCCGACTTCAAATTCTGCGCCCAAAGTCAGGGACTGACAAAAGCGCAACATATTTGAGAGACATACTGCAGCGGCCGGTGGTGTCGAGTTATTATTGCGGCCAAAGTCGCGGAAGCGGTATCCTTTGAACTGCAATAGGCGGTGCATGTCCCTGATATTTCCGAAATCGTCCTTCCACCGCGAGTCCTGGCATATCGTCTCTTTCCAGTTATGGATAAGCTCAAGGACCCGCGTCATGACGGGGCCGGGAAAGGGAGGCGGACGCTCAGGAAAGCGACGAACAAGCTCGTTCAGGAACTCCTTCGTAGAGACTTGCAGTTGGAATGGGTAGCCGCAGTGGTTGACAAGCGTTTCTAGTAGGGCGAGAGCGAGCATTGATACGTGGGGATTCCGGTTGTTGACGAGCCGTACGATGGTCATCGCAGCATCTCTTGGACTGTATTACGCCCCGATCAGTATGGCGTCTGCATTTCATCAAACTGAAGTACGCACTTGTTCGCCTTCTTGGTATTGATGTATTCGGCGACCTCCAGATGCAAAGCATAGTTAGGTTCTGGAAGATGCGCAGCGGTGGCGCGAGCAATAAGCAGTTCAAGTGGCGAGGCGTTGAGCTGCCAGACATTTCCAGGCTGGTTATTCCACATCTCGCCCGACTACCGAGTCCCAGAAAAGATAGATAAAGCGCCTTGGCCAATAATAGTATCTGAGTGTGAGCTGGCCGCCGGAATGCGCCCTAGTGCAAGTAAATCCGACCAGTACGAAGCCCAGCCGACGTCGATGTTCGGGTCAAGGTGACCGACGACGTGCTCGCGCGCGTGTGCGTTCGCAAGCCCGCCGCGTGGGACTTTTGGGATATTCGGCGTATTCGGCGCCGCGCCTGGCCCTGCTCTCTTTCCTCTTTCCTTCACCTTGCAGAGGTGTTCCGTTATCGCACCTGCACTCTTTTATCCTTCTTGTGCTCGATACAGCAATGCTGAGAGTCGCATATATCTGCTGCAGATTCGACCTTCGTATAAACTCCACGAAGGTTCACGACGCACGGCCGCCCTTGACTCTGACAGGTCGTTGAGCTAAAGCAGCTGCGCAAGGCCCGCATTAAACGCATCTTGCAATGCCATGAACGTATACGACTAGCCCGACCGCATTCGCGCCGTCCGGTACAGGTCTTCCGTACAGCTTGCCCGACGTCCGCACGTCAGGATGTTCATCTTTACGGATGTTCCCCTTGTTCTCCGGTACCGGCGGAAGAGCTATCCTATACTCTGCGACCGGCGAATGCGCCTCCAGAGCGCGTATCTGCGGACTAAACATTCGAATTGTCAACATCTGCGCACCTTCACTCCTGACACGGTTTCGCCACCGGTTGTAGACAGGACGAGGGCCTATCATATAAGTCACTGGTTGACTTTGCTATTCCTCAACTCGACGTCCTCCTGTTCCTGCACTCAGGCCACTCCTCAATACCTTCGTCATGTCTGAAGCCGTGTCAGCCGTCTCCCAGCCTCCGCTCCGCATTCTCAGTCTCGACGGCGGTGGCTACCGTGGCCTCGCCTCGCTCGAGATCCTCGACCGTCTCATGACGGAGCTGAAGCGCGACGACGGTTCTGTTCCAAAGCCTTGCGAGGTCTTCGACTTCATCATCGGCACCAGCACCGGCGGCCTCATCGCCATTCTGCTCGGCCGTCTCCGCCTTAGCGTCGAACAAGCGCGCAAGCACTACCTCGAGTTCGGGGAGAAGATCTTTGGTCAGCAAGCGCATGTCAGCGACGATCCTGTACACTGGCTCAAGACTGGCGAGGAGACGCTCAACCCGGCGCCCTTGGAAGGGGTCCTAGATAAGGTTGCGTCTGGCCTGGATCTACTAGACCTTCAGCCGAACGCGTGCAAGGTATGTTACTCATCGACCGACTAACGTCTTCTTGTGCTTACACTCTGCTCTGCTCAGGTCGTTGCGCTTACGACTGAGAAGGGCGCGGTGGCGTCCGATCCCGTATTCATGCGCTCGTATCGCAGCGAACACCCACTCCTCCCGAGCGACGGGTCCTGGAGCCACAACTGGACCATCAAGGAAGCGGGTCGTGCAACGTCCGCGGCGCCAACATACTTCCCTTCCGTACACATCAAGGACCATGGCGCCGAGAAGGTCTTCGAGGACGCCGGTGCCGCCGGCTACAACAACCCCGTTCTCAAGGGGATATCCGAAGTTCGCAACCGCATTCCCGAGTTCCAAGGGCGTCACATTGGTTGCCTCGTCAGTATTGGCACCGGCCTGAGCAAGATTCTCAAGGAGAGAAGCGAGAATACGAACCCGGATCCGCTCAGTTGGGGTTTGTTCAAGTATCTCTTGAGCCCGAAGGACAACACGAACGCTGTTAAGAAGCGCATGACTGAGTTTGCGGAGGTACGTTCAGCCTGACGCCTTTTACTTAAGCGATGCCTGACTGCTTGCTGCAGTACCTTGTTTCTATCGCCTCTGACACGGAGGACGCGCACAGGGTGGTCCGAGACGACCCGCAGTTCAAGTACGTCGTTCGAATTCCATGACGTTTGGGTCATAAGCTCAAACGTTATGGTTCATAGGGGGGTCTACTTCCGTGCGAACATCCCCGGACTCGGTCAGTTCAAACTCGACGACCTATCTAAGCGCGAAGTCCTGCAGTCTGAGGCTCGCAACTGGCTGAACGGCGAGGGAAAGAGCTTCATCACGGACTGCGCGAAGAGGATGAAGGTTCGTTCCCATGCCAGACTCCGTTGCATTCTATCTGAGCTTTCCCACAGTCGACCACCATCCCGTGCTTCGAGCTCAAGCCGGCCCCCTTCGGGAAGCCTGAATGCGTGGGACGCGACAACGTTGTCGAAGAGCTTAGCAAGACCATCTCCTCCGACATCGCGTCCAAGGCGGAGTTCAAGCCGTGTTCTATCCTGATCCAGGGCCCTCTCGGGGTTGGCAAGTCCACCGTCGCTCTTCAGGTCATGAACGACTCTCGCGTCAAGAAGACCTTCGGCAACCGCATATGCTACTTGCGCTGTGACGGCATGTTGGACATCGCCGCGCTCAAGGGCAAGCTTCTTGCCATGCGGGAGATCGACGGTGGCAAGGCCTCGGACGCTGAGATCCAGGAGCTGCTCTCTTCCGCTCCGACGCTCGTCTGCTTGGACAACTTCGAGCAGCTTTGGAACATCAGCGAGCTTAGGGACGAGATTCGGCATAACCTCCTACCTCTCCTAGCGCGCGGCTCTAGCCTCATCGTCACCGTGCGCGGGACTCCGAACATTGACCTTGATGTCTCCGGTGGCTGGTCGTTGAGCACACCCCTCGGCCCACTCGGCGCTTCCGACGCCCGCAAGGCCATTCTGTCTTTCGCGCACAAGCCCGAGCCGTCCGATGCGACAGAGCGCGCGGCTCTCGACTCCCTCGTTGCAAAGTGCGAGGGTCTTCCCCTCTCCCTCTCCCTCCTCGGTCATCTCGCCGGCGCCCGCGACTTCACCGCCATCGTCACGAGGCTCGTGACGCCCAAGGCAGCTGCCATCGACGACTTTGAAGAGACGCGAGGTCTTGGCGCGACCATCCGGCTGACCTTGGAGGAGGACCGCGTTCGCAAGTCTCCTTCAGCCCTCGCACTATGCTACGCTCTGGCGTTGCTCCCGGATGGCGCCGGCCCCGACTTCCTCCGTTCCGGTCTCATCGGTACCGCGATGGACATCGACGAGGCGAAAGCGAGGCTCATAGAGCGCGGAATCGCGTACACGGAGCCTGCGTATGGCCTTCTACGCATGCTCGGTCCACTTCGCGTATTCTTCTGGAACCTCACGCCGAAGGAGCAGGCGGCGTACGGCGTCGACTTGCCAAAGATCTACGACGCTATCCGTACCTTCTACTATGGACTCGCTAGCAAGCCCTTGGACGACGTCCGCGAAACCAACACCCGCCGTCTTTACTTCGCGCAAGCTCGGAACATCGAGGTCATGGTCATGCGCGATCTTGCGAACCCGCCCCGCGACGCCTCTGCGTTCGCGGCTGTCGTCGATGCTGCTTGCGGTGTGTCTGGATGGTACGTGTGGGCCGGCGTCCCTCACGCGTCCCCGTACCTCCTGCAAGCGCTCGAGCAAGCGAGGGCTCGGGAAGATCTGGTACTTGTCGGCAAGCTGCTGCTTGAGATCGGTCGCGACCTCGCCGACGAGGAAGACCAAGAAGCAAAGATCAGGGCCATGGTAAACCTCACAGAGGCGTACGCCGTCGGCAAGAAGCATGCGGACGAGTTGATGGCCAAGGGAGACGGCATGAGTGCAGAGGAGAAGGCCGTGTTCAAGAAAATGTACGAGCTCGCCGCCGACGCCAGCAAAGAGCGCGCTCGCCTCGCATCTTCTTTGGGCGACGATCAGAACGCGGAGGTTTGGCTTCACGACGCCGTCGTCGCCTATGAGAACCTCTGGGACGAGGATGGGTACATGGACACGTTCATCATCTTGGGTGGCATCCAGGCGAAGCGCGGCGAGGTGGAGGCTGCGGTGTCTTCTTACAACCGCGTTCTCGACGTCGCGAAGGGGAAGACCAAGTACCGTGATCAAGAGGCCGTCGTGTGTCGCTCTCTCAGTGCGCTCGTTCCCGGGACGGATGACAAGCGTAGGTTACTCGAGCGCGGGGCGGCGCTTTTCGACGAACTTGACAAGCTAGGCGCCGCGGCCGAGTGTCGCCTCACCCTGAAGGAGCTGGAGGTGGTTGTGTAGAAGTAATGGAGTCGTCTGCCCATGTTTCCTCTTCAGTATCGTACGATGTACTTGTACTATATAAACCGGTGTATCTGATCTGTGTGATCGTCTTGCCTCGCGCTTGAACCCAATGAATGCTGTGTAGCCTCTTATCGGCCAAAGAGACGCCCACGTGGACCAACACCATGCTGATCGGCCTATTGATGCGAACAAGCCGCGCGTGTGACGCCTGAAAGGCCTTTGCATCTTTCAATAATGTGTCCCATCTTTGTTCCTACCCTCATAGCGCTTGTCAAGCGCGTCCATACTTGTACACGCGTATCTGCTCTAGCTACTCGAATTGCATTCTCGCCACAACCTTGCTGCAGTCGCGACTTGGAGGCTATACCCAAGGCTGTAACGCAAACACCGCCCTAGGACGCGTCGCTCAGAGGACAGATTATTCTTGGATTCTCGAAGAGTCATCGGCTTGGAACGCGTAACACAGCTACCCACGGATCCTATATATTACGGTCACATAGTGCGTGGATTCGCAGCCCGACGGACGCGCTTTCGCTTACTTCTGTCAGCTAAAGCCTTTTCAACATGGCCGCCAATGGCACACCAAGTTACTACCAGAATGCGATGGCCCAAATCGAAGCGAAATCCCCATATCCTCAGACACGAGATCTTCCTGAAGAGATCAACACCACGGCTCGCCAGGTCCCGTCCGTCCGTCCTCCCGCCACATTCCTCCCCACCGACGACCAGTTGTTTGCCACGGATTCGCGTGGACGGCGAAAGCCCAATCACGAGTTCATCCGTGAACACTTCTTGCGCGAAGGACGACTACGCGAAGAACATGTCATGTCGATCTTGCGCCAGGCCACTGATTTGTTGTCATCGGAGGCGAATGTGTTGAAGGTGAAGAGTCCAGTTACAGGTGTGTCTCGCCGCTTGTAATGACGCTGCAAGATCTAGTGCTCATGAATGTGCAGTGGTTGGTGATATACACGGTCAATATGTGCGTCAGAGACGTAGAACGCGCGATATATACGCTAACATTCTTGCAGTATGACTTGATGAAGATCTTCGAGGTCGGAGGAAGCTGGAACGACAACAACTATCTCTTCCTCGGTGACTACGTTGATCGTGGATGCTTCGGTATCGAGGTGTGTTGAATCACTGGCGCGTGATCCTCCAGCTGACTCGATGATGCAGTGTTTATTGTACCTCTACGTGCTGAAGTTATGGTATCCCGAGAAGATCTTCCTCATGCGAGGAAACCACGAGTGTGCACATCTCACGGAGTATTTCACGTTCAAGCGCGAATGTGAGTACATGCAGTCAACCCTGAGGCATTTGGACTGATCGCGTGACCCCATACAGGCCTACACAAATATTCCGAAAAGGTGTATCAGGCGTGTTGCGAGTCATTCAACGCTCTGCCCATAGCTGCGCTTCTGGACAGCAAGTTCTTCTGTGTGCACGGAGGAATCTCGCCGGAGTTGAACACGCTCTCTGATCTGGACCGCGTAAGCACCTCACCTTGAGACTGTCGATAGTTGTCTGACGTAAACCTGCCAGCTCAACCGCTTTCAAGAGCCCGGTAGCTTCGGTCTATTGTGTGATCTTCTATGGTCAGATCCTATCCCGAACTTCGGGCATGAGACCGAACCCAGCCAGAATGGACCAGGCGTTGCGCCTGGTACTCTCTGGCTGAATAACGATGTCCGCGGCTGTTCATACTTCTTCACGTACGTCGCAACTACATTTCCTGCACCCTCTGTCTAATTGAAGCGATAGATATGAAGCTGTCATCAAGTTCCTCGAGAGGAATAACCTTCTCGGCGTCATTCGCGGTCACGAAGCACAGGATGCTGGGTACGTTCGACCGATACATGCGAATGCACTCATCTCTGACGTTTGATCAGATACACCATGTTCCGCAAGACGCCTACAAAGAAGTTTCCCTCAGTCATCACTGTCTTCTCTGCGCCGAACTACCTCGACGTCTACCACAACCGTGGCGCCGTGCTCAAGTATGCGAACAAGAACATCACGATCCGGCAATATCACGCTCGCCCACATCCCTACTGGCTACCCAACTTTATGGACGCTTTCACATGGAGTCTGCCGTTCGTCGGGCAAAAGAGTAAGTTTCGCACCGTCGCAAGGGAATATGACGCTCATGTTCGTGTAGTTGTCGATGCGTTGCTCGCTATTCTGAAGGTATGCTCCGAGGAAGAGCTGGAGGATATTTCTTCGGATGAGGAAGAGGCAGAAGGTGCCGGTGCTGCGTCTGAGTCGGATCTCGCCGCTCGCAGGCAAGAGATCAAGAACAAGATCCTCGTCGTGGGCAAGATGCAACGACTCTTCCAGATTCTTCGGTACGTCGTGTCCCCATCGCGCTGCTCTCCCGATCTGATC